CCAAAACTATTGGCTGTGTGGTTCCAGACCAATCTGAAAATCAGTTCTAAATATCGCTCCGAATTGAAGAAATAAGTAGATCTGAACTTGTTCTGGATAACGGAACCCATGGGCAAATTCCTTAACCACTATAAGTAAGACTGGGCACTAAATAATGCTTATGTAAAATCTACACGTAATATTTCACAATATTCAGTTTAAAAAATTAAGTGATTTAGACAATATACTTTATATATTGGTTATCTCTTGGATTTAGAGTCACCATTGTCGACCGGACCCTAAACGATCAAAACTTAAACTATATTACATTGCAAACCTTAGATGTTATCAAAGCAGTTGAATAGTGTGCGAAAATGTTCGGTATTGTACATTATGGTGTCGAAGTAAGAATATATTAAAAACAACGAAAATATACCGCATGGTATCCAAATATGGGTTTCTTTAATGAAGATTGAATCAGTAAGTTACATTATCACATGTTTGCTTGATAAAACAAATGTCTTCAAAATATTAAGATACGATGTTATACGTCGACATTAGATCTCTTTAGCACATGCACACGCCCGTTTAACTCACAACGAGTGAAAAATGTCCATCGGTAAAAATGTTGTGAGCAACTTCCGTTCCTCGTTGTGAGCACCCATCTATGACGAGTGACACGATAAACAAGGTGAGTTTTTTCATAATTTTTTGAAGATTACAGACATTTATGTAAAATATCGGAATGCAGTTAGCTAGCGATGTGTTTTCCGAGTATGCACATGTAAAAGATATTGCCTGTTGGTGGACAATTTGATGGAAATACCGTGCGACGCAGTCACTCGGGGTAGCCGGAAAACTGGAGACAACTTCTCTTTGGACCTAATTTAACATTGAAAACGTCGATTCTGGTGACGTTTTGTGCATTCTAACCTAAAACAGATGCCCACAAGTCTTCAGCGTAAATTATTATCTGAAAGTATTCGTAGAAACGAAGATATACTCTTTTTTGCTTTAATCCTCGTTGTGAGCACCATAACCTCGTTGTGAGCAAGACAAGCGCAGTGCTTGTCTGGTTTTAATATGTAATTCAAATGGCAAGAATACAATTTTCAATCTACCAAAAGCAATCAAAACGTTCTTGTACAATAGTTTTCCTTTGCAATAGTTCTTCTTTTTCTTTTTTTGAAAATTATTCTTCATATTCACAAGTCATCAGATTAACAGTGGAGGTAAATCAGGTATTTTATTTCGTATACTCTAGTGTGGCACGAGTGAACATCACGGGGTGTTTATGAATATTTCAACAATTTCACAATCTGTGTAATACACACATACATGTGTTTATCCTGAGCTGAAGACTGACCAAGTTATGTAAAACAAGAACTATCACGGTAAGTTGACAATGTCCCTGAAGTGGTGCTTTGTCCTTTGATTTATGGACCAGATAGATTATTTGTTTTTGGACACTTAGATCTTCAATGTGAAGGTAATTCAAGGTCTAGGTAAAATAAATATAGGTCAGTTGGAAGGTCTTGTCCAAAGGGGCATTGTGTCCAAATATGAATTAATTCCACTTACTTATAAAGAAGTTATGACCAATGTTAAAGTTTTTGGATGTTCTAGAAGGTCATTCACGGTACAAGGTAAAAAAATACAGATCAGTTTGAAGGTCTTGCCTAAAGGGGTGTTGTTTCAAAATATGAGTAGAATCCGTATACTAATAAGGAAGTTATGACCAATTTTTAAGTTTTTGGACAATTTGACCTTCAAGGTGAAGGTCATTCAGGGGTCAAGGTCAAAAGAATATAGGATAGTTGAAAGGCCTTGTCCAAAGATGTGTTGTGCCTAAACATTATGCCAGGACATTATGGCCAATCTTAAATGTTTTTGGACAATTTGACCTTCAAGGTAAAGGCCATTCAGGGGTCAAGGTAAAAAATACAGGTCCGTAGGAAGGTGCTAAGGGATGTTGTGTTCAAATATGAATCAAATCCGTTTACTAATAAGGAAGTTATGGCCAATGTTAAAGTTTTCGGACAGATTGACGAACTGACAGACGGACAGTTCAAAACTAATATGCCTCCCTTTGGGGTATGCACAACGTCTTGCAAAGAAATGCTGCTGTGCAAAAACGTTTTAATTGATGTGGTAGATTGAAAATTATATTTTCACCATCTGAATTACATATTAAAACTATACACGCACTGCGCTTGTCTTGCTCACAACGAGGTTATGGTGCTCGCAACGAGGATTAAAGCAAAAAAGGTATATCTTCGTTTCTATGAAGACTTTCAGATAATAATTTACGCTGAAGACTTGTGGGCATCTGTTTCAGGTTAGAATGCACAAAACGTCACCAGAATCGACGTTTTCAATGTTAAATTAGGTCCAAAGAGAAGTTGTCTCCAGTTTTCCAGCGACCCCGAGTGACTGCGTCGCACGGTATTTCCATCAAATTGTCCACCGACAGGCAATATCTTTACATGTGCATACTCGGAAAACACATCGCTAGCTAAATGCATTTCGATATTTTTACATAAATGTCTGTTATCTTCAAAAATTATGAAAAACTCACCTTGTTTATCGTGTCATACGTCAAAGATGGGTGCTCACAACGAGGAACGGAAGTTGCTCACAACTTTTTTACCGATGGACATTTTTCACTCGTTGTGAGTTAAACGGGCGTGATGCAGTCAAACCTGTGTGAAAGACCACATCTGATTAAAGATGACCATGTGTATAAAGGTTACAATGAGACGACTTTTCATTAATAATTAAGAACAAAGTAACCTCCGGATAAAGAAAACTTGGCTATCTCCCTTGGTTGGCCTTTGTTGACAGGTTTGACTGTATGGAGTTTTGACCGCCGATTCCTCCGTCTCAATAAATGTTTCAAAAAAGGTTTGTGTGAATATTTTGCATCGTTTTGCAGATAACTGTCTGATATAAGTCAGTTTTGTGACGTTTTGTTCAAACGTATTGCATGTTTTGGACACACCATAACTCACGCCCTAAAGTATATCTTCACGTAATGCGTGAAGATCTGATACAACTTTTAGTAAATATATAGAGAAAAGTCATTTCGATTTTCTTCAGAAAAGTTTGTTGACACTCTTTTTTTTTCTTTTTTGGAAAAAGTTGAAGAAATAGAGGATATTGAATGAGTGTAAGTTTAATACTGAATTTGTTGAACGAGTTGAATAAAATTATATTATACGAGCCTCTGACGAGTATAATATTATTTTATTCAACAAGTTCAATTAAGTCTGTTATGAACTTACACGAATTAAATATTATATTTATCACATACCCAAAATAAAAAGACCGTTTGAAGTGAAAAAGAACAATTTTTCATTGACGCCTCTACTGGTCGGAGACCATCTACCGGACACTTTTGGAACATTTTTCCGTACAGATTTCATAATTTTCAACCTACAGACAAAAATATTTGACACAGTTCAGCTCAGGTTCTTCTCCTAACTAACAAACTAGCTTGTTTATATCTGATTATATTGACACTTATATCAGAGGCTCATCAAGGAGGGTATCAAAATTACCTAAATTGTCTACACTACAGTACCATGTGTCCGGACATTTATGTACATGACGTGATTTAATTCAGATAAAAGCTTAGGTGTTTTTATTTTTTATTTTTAACATGATATACAATATTTCAGCAACAAATGCCGAAGTTTGGATATTCTATTGTTTACCCTGCATATGATAATAACTGGTATATGAGGTCAGGCTTTATTTTCTTGACCCCCCCAAATTTCAACGTCAACATTCTTGTAATAGACATTAAAATATTACCATTTACGGAGGTTGTAATAAATTTATTTACTTAATTTTAGAAGAAACATGCATTTACTGTTGATAAAAAAGTGACTGACAACCACTGAACAAAGAAAATACTAAATTAAGCATTTTTGGGGCCGTCCGGGTATGGTGGTTGTCCGGTTTTGCTGGTCCCCAACCAGTATAGTATACTGTAACGCTAAAATTAAGCGTGCCGTCAAAATACATACACGGCCCTGAATGCCACTTTTACGGAGTCGCAAAAGCCGCACGGTTATGTGATAAAACTTACCCTGTGATCGATTGACTTAAATGCTTAAATGTTTTTTTTTTATTGCTGCTCAATTTTGAGAGTCACAAAAGTTCACCTCCGCCCGCCCGTCTTAATCCATATTTTCTTCAATGTAAAATTAAGTGTTGATTTCTTCTTCCACAAAGTTTTTTATATCGTAAATATATGCCCTGAAGAGTCCCAATATTCCTCGATTCTGAAAGTGATGGCGGGTTCAGACTTAAAACACACAGTCTAAGTATGTACTTACATTGTACATCTGACAACATTAAATTTTACTGGGCATATGTTTTTTTTATTATTTCTAAATTATGCGTACGGTGTACATGTAACCTTTATACGCAGTAGTGTGTTCTGTAATAGGATGTGTGGTTAGTTCATATATAATTACGAACTTCCTCCATCTCCAATCAATATATAACAGTTACGCACATGTTTCCACAACGTATTTATTTTGAGAATTTACCTAATTGATGTAGTATACACCGACGTCCGACGTCTACGGGTATACTTATAAAAACAACAAACGAACAAAACAAAAAGAAACACGTACTTGGGTGGGATGATGGATTGTATTAATCATAATTATATTCAATTGAAACAAATTAACTGTTTTGGTATAAATATGGGCAATGGAAACATAAAAATAATTGAATATCATACATCTTTGATAATAATTGTCATTTTGATTTTTAGCCCAACAAATTATATATATGCGCTTTAGGACGATGGTCGACTGACATCTATGAAATATCAGATCATAGGCTAAAATCGGTCGGTCTTGCAGATTATTTGATTTTAAGATTAAGATATCATATTTAATACTACGTACTGTACTGTATACTAAATGTACATCTGCACAGGAAAATCTGAATGTCTGAATATATTTATTACCTTGTAACCTATAATCAATTTAGTGGTGTTATACTTTGTAAAATTTATTAGCATAATCGTGTTATTTAAATAGCACCAAACATTTTGGCGCATAATTTCAAAAACAAAAATACAGGTAAAATAACAGAATATTGAAAGAGTATATAATTTTGCTATAATATATATTAAATTTTATACGACATGTTACATGTTTGATGTATTTTTGTGATATTCCACTATTTCGACCATAATAAAAACCTTGGACTAAAACTAAACGTTAACTGGTTAAAACTATTCTCTCTCCTGACATTTCGTCCCACTGACTTTTCCTTCCAGACTATTCTCTTCCTGTTTTTGTGGAGAACTGCCTACATTATCATAGATAAGAATAACCTTTATTTCCAATCAAGGGTCATGTTAAATGACATGTAAATCACAATAATAATAATGAGATCAAAGATCAAGGAAACTAAAACTTGATTTGGGGTTTGCCTAAAATACGAAAGTGTGATTTTTGACGAAAGTGAGCGAAAGTGACTTTTAAAATATTAATTGTAACGTTTTAATAGACTTTTACAATAAAATTGCAGTTTGTAGACGTATATTATTAGAAATTACTTATATTTATTATAAAAAATAATCATAATAATGATTTATTTGGTTTTTATTTGCATAATTTATATACACAAATTCTTATATCTTCCTTTCGCTTACATTGAAAAATACGAAAGTGACTTATAAAATATACCGTTTAAATTGAAATTATTTTTACTATTATTGCACAAATTGGACGTGTAATATCAGAAAATGATAATATTTACTTTCAAAGATAGTCATTATGATGATTAAATCGCCATTTATTTTGCATAATCTCTACCAGTACACAAGTTATATACAGAGATCTTCCTTTCGCTCGCATTGAAAAATACGAAAGTGGCATACAAAATATCAAATATACTGTTTAAATTGAATGTATTACTAAAATTGCAATTAATTTGTAGACGTACAATATCAGAAGTCAATTATATTTATTTTTAAAAATAATCATTATGATGATTTAACCGCCCTTTATTTGCATTACACAAGTTAAAAGATCTTCCTTTCCCTCACATTGAAAAATACGAAAGTGACTTCAAAAATGTCAAATATAGCGCTGAAAGACGCATGTTTTCAGAAATGATTAAAATATATTAAAAAAATAATCATTATGATGATTTAATATCCATGTATTTTCATAATTGCTGTATACCTGTTCTGATATCTTACTTTTGCCCACATTGAACAATACGAAAGTGACTTAATCGGACGAAAGTCAATGTCAATATTCACGATATTAATGTTTTTTATAATAAAAAAATAAATGAGTCATTTTCATTATTATTCATGTTTTCATGGTGATTGACCTATAACTGATGATGAAAATGACTAGCACAAAATATAAAAAAAAATCCTAACTTATAAAAAGATTGAACTTTACCGATATATATAGTACGATATTTATAGAAAATTCCGTGGATTACTTATTTCCTTTTTTCCATAGTGAAATATTATTTTAACAATGATGGGAAATTCCAAATTATTTTTCAAATTAACATGTACATTGCTCATCTACACCTGGATGAGCATAATAACTGCCACTTTAATCCGTGCAAGATATCTATGGTTGTGCAGAAGAAAGGTTAATTCAATTGTCCACTCAATAAACAACCGGGCAAGTGTCATCAGTTACATACCTATGATTGGATTATAATAATACTTTAGTGGGATTAAAGCGTCATGCGGTCACCGTCGTGTGTACTATCAATTAAAGTGGATGCGAAAATGATATGACAACACGTGTTTGCATGTAAACATATTCATACTTTATTTTGTCTCATTCGTATACATGCATTTTTAAACATATATACAACTATTCACATAAAACCTATATAAGACCATTCCATTTAATAATTTCAAGAGACATTATAATAATGAGAAACACATTCAAGACCTATTACTGTTAGATTAGAATCAAACAGTATAATTACAATATAATATATAAACAGAATATTACATGTTAGGTAACACCATCTTTAATCAAAAATTAAAAACTGCCCGAAAAGACGATGTAAGAAATAGAGAACTGTAAATCGGGGCCCTAAAGCATAAATTGTATAATTCATGTTTTTGCCAATTATAGTTTACATAATAAATTTCATTTTTCATCTTAACATATTTAGTTTTATAAAAATGATAGTTACTATAGCTTATAACATACGTCTACAAACTGCAATATTATCATGAAATTCTATTTCAACGCTATATTTGATATTCTGTAAGTCACTTTCGTCAGGCTCACAGTAAGTGAAAGGAAGATCAATGTTTTAGCCTGTGTATAAATATTATGCTAATAAATGAAGATCAAATCATATTGATTAAAGATACTAGTTTTGATAATATACGTCTACAAACTGCATTATTAATATGAAATGCAATTTAAACGCTATATTTGATATTTTTAAAATCACTTTCGCTTCCTCTCCCTAACACTGAAAATACGAAAGTGAGCGAAAGTAAGATCTCTGATATTGCTATATAGAAATAATGAAAATGCATGAATATTAAAACCTCATAATGATTTTTAAGTATTTTTAGCTCGACTTTTCTATGAAAAGGGGAGCTATCCTACTCGCCCCGGCGTCGGCGTCGGCGTTGGCGTCACACCTTGGTTAAGTTTTTCGTACCACCCCACTTTATTTCAGAAGTATTACAAGTATGGCTTTGAAACTTACCATACTTGTTCACCATCATAACCTCCATCTACAGACAAGAGTACATAACTCTGTCAAGGTTTTTGACAGAATTATGGCCCTTTTTTTGACTTAGAAAGTGTATTGAGCTTGGTTAAGTTTTTTTGTACCACCTCACTTTATTTCAAAACCATTGGAGGTATTGCTTTGAAAACTGACCATACTTGTTTACCATCACGACCTTCATCAACAGACAAGAGGACATAACTCTGTCAAGGTTTTTGACAGAATTATGCCCCTTTTTGACTTAGAAAATACATTGAATATGGGTAAAATCCACTTATTGCCTTAACCCTTTGAGATATTGCTTTGAAACTTTTAATGCTATTTCACATCATTACCCCCATCTGTACGCAAGAGAAGGTAACTCTGTCAAGGATTTGTTTTAAAAATTAAGGCCTTTTATCGACTTAGAATCTTGGTTAAGTTTTTAGTACCAGTCCACTTTTTGACTGAACTGTTTGAGATATTAATTTGAAAGTTGGAATACTTGTTTACAATCATGATTCCCAAACATGTCCAGGAGAAGGTAATTCTGTCAACTCAGTTTTTTTTTCTTTCTTACCAGCCCTCTTTTGACTTAAACATTTCAAACTTTGCTGCAGTGTTCAAGGGTATCACACAATTCAGTAAAATAATTCTTCACTAAATATCTTAATGCTCATGGCCATTGTTCACTTTAAAAATACAGAGATTCTTGTATTGCCTTTTACTGCAAAAACTTTTTTTATTGGCAAGCAATAAAAAAGTTGAGCGCGCTGTCTTACGGACAGCTCTTGTTTATTCATTTCTGAAACTATGCGTCTACAAACTGTTATATTAATATAAATTCAAAATAAACGGTATATTGAATGTTTTATAAGTCACTATGTAGATCTATGTAGTTGTGTATAGAAATTATGCAAATAAATAGCGATTAAATCATCATATATAATGATTATTTTTGAAAATGAATATTATCAATTTCTGATAATATACGTCTACTTAGAGCAATTTTAGTAAAAAATCAACTTAACCAGTATATTTAATATTTTATATGTCACTTAAGTATTTTTCAATGTGAGCGAAAGGAAGATTTCTGAACTTGTGTATAGAAATTATGCAAATAAATGGCGATTAAATCATCATAATGATAATTTTTAAAAATAGATATTATCAAATTCCAAAACTATACGTCTACAATCTGTTATATTAATATAGATTTAAATTAATCGCTATATTTGATATTTTGAAGTCACTTTCGTATTTTTTCAATCTGAGCGAAGGAAGATATCTGAACTTGTGTATAAAAATAATGCAAATAAATAGCGATTAAATCATCATAATGATTATTTTAAAAAATAGGTATCATCAAGTTCTGATAATATACATCTACAAATTGTAATTTTAGTAAAAATTTCAATTAAAACAGAATATTTAATATTTTATAAGTCACTTTCGTATTTTTCAATGTGAGCGAAAGGAAGATATAAGAACTTGTGTATAGAAATTATGCAAATAAATGGCGATTAAATCATCATAATGATAATTTTTAAAAATAGATATTATCAAATTCCAAAACTATACGTCTACAATCTGTTATATTAATATAGATTTAAATTAATCGCTATATTTGATATTTTGAAGTCACTTTCGTATTTTTTCAATCTGAGCGAAGGAAGATATCTGAACTTGTGTATAAAAATAATGCAAATAAATAGCGATTAAATCATCATAATGATTATTTTAAAAAATAGGTATCATCAAGTTCTGATAATATACATCTACAAATTGTAATTTTAGTAAAAATTTCAATTAAAACAGAATATTTAATATTTTATAAGTCACTTTCGTATTATTCAATGTGAGCGAAAGGAAGATATAAGAACTTGTGTATAGAAATTATGCAAATTAGTAGCGATTAAATCATCATTATGATTATTTCTGTTAATAAATATAATTATTTTCTAATAATATACGTCTACAAACTGCAAGTTTGTTTTAAAAGTCTATTAAAATGTTATAATTACTATTTTAAAAGTCGCTTTCGCTCACTTTCGTCAAAAATCTCACTTTCGTATTTTAGGCATACCGCTTGATTTGTATTATAGTAACAACATGAACAACAATGAACTTAAAGGAAAAAACAAACAAACACAGTAAATGACACAGTTTCGCGAACTAGAATTAGACATCATAATTACATATACATATGAATTGAAAATTACATTTTGTTTTTATTCTTTCGAATAACATTTAATTTACATAAACAGCTAGATAGCGTATACCAGTGTTTTGTAACAACACTGTACAATACACATGTCTCTCAAAAAAAAAACATACTGTATACCAAGTTAAATTAATTTATGTTTTCTCATTATCATTTCTGAGTTTAAAACAAGTAAAAGGAAAATCTACAAATTGTTTTATGATTTTTTCATCTTCGTTGCCCATTAACCAAATGAATTTGCTTATTTCAGACATTTTTTCAAAGTTTAAATTCTTATCTTTTATTTCATTATATAAAATACTGCATTGACTAGTAAAAGCATTGCAAGCAGTAACAAAATGTAGCTCGTCTTCAACTTCATTTGAGTTGCAAACTTCGCAAAATCTTTTATCAGACTTGACTTTTTTATATCTCCCATTATCTCTATTTGTAATTTGTGAGAACTTATCCTTAACTTTGTAAAACAAGCTCTAATATTTTTATCTTTGATTACTGCTAAATAAGGTTCCCTACAAAAATTTGTTTTAAACCCTACAAAAAAATATCATATGTGCAAACACAAGGGGCACATGTGCAGTTAGTTCAAGCAAGAGTAGTGGTTGTAAACAAAATGGTAACTGAGTAATGCGCTTGAAAAAGATATTTTTGACAAATTTTGTGTAGATTTCTGATTTATTAAAACTTCATTTGGGACATGCAAATTAAATCATTTACACTGTCTTTATTTTTTTACTGTTATCTTTGCATGTGATCTTCAAATAAATATATGATAATAGGCAAAGTCTACGAACTGGGAAGTTGGTTAAAAAATTGTTTGTTATTCCGTTTAAAAGGTGTCCTTCGATAATTCATGCATCAATTCTGTTTTCACTTGGAACTTTCTACAATTAATTATTATTAATCTGAAAAGTTGCGATCGGTCCGTTATTGGAATACACCTCCTATTGCCTGTTATCATTGAGACCGCCTATTATCATTGAGATACATTGAAAATGGCGATGCCCGTATAGAACTGGCTCTGCAATTATAGGTATTTAATTTCACCATATAGAATTCTATATTAGTAAAATAGTATATATTCTTTAATTATTTTCTGATTTCATTAAGATTTCATTTGAATATACACATGCAGTCTATAGCTGGGCAAGCCAAAGCCTTTAACTTCTTAGTAAAGCAATATGATCTGCCTATGACGAATGTGCATGTAGCATAACAGATGCTATTCTTGTATTTAATTCTAGTTGAAAGTGAGGACTAAATAGAAGATGGTGAGAAGAGAAGAGTTGCTAGGGTTACTGGAGCAGAACAATGCAGATGACATCATAAAGTTTGTTATTCAGGTATTAAGTCTCTTTAAAACATTCAGCTTAAAAAAAATCTTGCATTTTCTTTTAAAAGCCTTTTATTGCCAACTAGATTATTGCTAAACGTAATGAAACCAATTTGTGGATAAATGAATTCCTTAACGGTCGTTATCAACAAGTGGTAGTAGACGGAGAATCATCAAGACCGTCACTGGTAACAACGGGCGTGCCTCAGAGAACCGTGCTTGTTCCTGCATTGTTTTTACTATACATTAACGACATCCCTTCGGATATTAAGTCATCAATTCGCCTATTTGCTGACGATTGTGTAATTTATAGACCCATACTCACCAGTGAAGATCACAATATTTTACAAAAAGACCTGGACACTTTAGTTGATTGGAGTAATATCTGGCAAATGGAATTTAACGTCGATAAATGTGCGACCATGTCAATAACAAATTAACGTAACAAATCTGTGTTTGACTACAAAATGAAAAATCAATCACTACATGTTGTTAAAAACCATCCATATCTGGGAGTTGAACTAGCAGATACTCTGAAATACAACTTACACATCGATTCAATCACAGCAAAAGCTTCTAGAACTCTTGGTTTTATCAAACGAAACTTAATTAAAACACTGTCCGACCACAGTAAAAGAAAGAGCTTATCAAACTTTGGTTCGACCTAAACTGGAATATGCGTCGCCAATTTGGAATCCTTAACAACTAAATACATCAAAGAAAATCGAACAAATACAACAGAACGTGGCAAGATTCGTCATGAATAAGCCATACAACCGTAATAATCCATCTAGCGTAACATCAATGCTACACAAACTACAAACAACGTCGTCAGTGTGCGGACTTAATTCTCATGTATAAAGTGTTAAATAACCAGGTGGCTGTACCAGTTGAATACCATCCACAACTGTCAACAAGATACACAAACTCCGTAAAGTTCGTCACTTATCACTGCAGACTTAATGCGTACAAACATTCATTCTTTCCAAGAACTGTGCCTTATTGGAACAACCTACCAGGTAACATCACAACTGTGGACAACCTGGACAGTTTTAAGACTGCTGTCCAGTCTTACGTATTTGTGTAAATTATTAAACATCGTGTATAGTATACAAACATGTTTGGATTTTACTTCACACTACGTTTTCACATTCAGTGTACGAAATTCGGATTTGAATCCAATAGGCTGGTCGGGCTACCACATTGGAATATTCACTAGCCCAAAAGACATTTCACTAGTATGATTCATTCTTTCCAAACAGTTGTTTATATTGCCTTTGAAAATATGATAGCCCGGTTGGGCTTGTTACTGCGAAATATTGGTAGCCCAAGGAGAAATTTGGTAGTCATGGGCTATCGGACTACTGCTAATTTCGAACACTGCACATTATTTTAACTCGAACGCCTGGTGCCGCACATGGGGGACAGGTTTTAACCCACGTTTTTATGGAGCACATTTTACATCACCACTCGTAGCTGATGTCTGCACAGCGGATTTACAGACAAGCACAACTTAGAAGTTAGAAGTAGAAGGTGGCTTTACACCTGACAGAAATTTGTAGTAGCAACTATTAAATTCATCTTATTGTCAGTATTAAAGGCAGATAAATCCTTTTATTGGAATACTAAATTATTTATTTTATCATCATGGTATTTTTTTGTCATGGTTTAGAATTGAGGTTGGAATGTAAAATTATTTTATTATAACCAGAGACATAGATAAGAGAGATAAGCATCTCCTATATACTCCATTGTTTCAATGATTGAAATATCACTTATGCCTATAAAAAGGTGAAAAATTAGGCATTTTGTAGCAAATAAAACTTAATGGATGGACATTTGATCCTTTAATATTATAAACCATTTGAAAGGTAAATCTTTTATCTATTGCTGCATGTTAAAATATTGGTAACTTTCCATGCCTTTCACTTAGAAAAACATAGCATAACACACCCTGGCACTGAGCCAGTTTCTTCGTCATATTAATAGTTTTGTAACAAAAATTAATAAGTAGTTCTCTTTAAAATTTGATGTATCATTTATTTAAATTGGAACTGTAAATATTTTTACCTGCAGCCATAGACAAATGCATAAGCTTTCAGAAAATGTATTATTTTCCTGATTTTGATATCTGGTTAAAAAGTTTTACTTGCTACAAGTTTTAAGTTTAGCAGGCATGCGTGATATTTTAACTGGTTAGGAAGTTGCCTATCTTTGTTATCTATGTCTCTGTTATAACATTGTTCTGCTTCATCTTCAAATTGTATAGACTTGCAATAAATGATACAGTGATTCCAACTCTAAAGTGTATCTGATAAATTGATGTAATGTGTACATAAAGCATGGATTTACCTTTGAAATAAATGAAACTAATTATATATACAAAATATTTCACGGCAGTTGTTTCCATGCATTCCCATCATGGATTGGGAATCATTGTCTTAAATAGTGGGAATTATATACAGTAGTCTTTGTAAATTTGTGGACACCATTTCTTAGTCAGTATAAATAAGCATTTGCACAGGGATTTGTTGCGACGGACGCGCCCTCAGGCGCGTTCAGAGCTAAGTCATCTACACATGGGATTTCGTCGGCTACAATCGCGGAAGGTGTCCTCAACCGATTAACAGCCCAAGAAATAGTACATGATTTGATCCTTTAAAACTCCCATACTTTGTCGGGATATCTTAATGTCTTCCATATTTAGCCTTTTCAGTTTCAAATGCAGTTATCCAAGTTTAAATGTGAACGTATATGACTGATAAAAACGTTGTAGTCCCGTAGTATTATTGCGCAATATGCAAATTACTGCCGAAACGATTTACCGCTGTCGAAAAAGTAGGACAGCAAATTATACTATAATAAAGGTGTTAGCTCTGAGTTCCAAGAAATTATTAGTAAGAAATAAATATTTCTACATTATAAAAAGCATTATTTTTAACAAATCAAAAGTTTTTCGTGACTCTAGAATTACTCGCGCATTAATAAAAGAAGAACTATTTTCGTGACTCATACCGCGCGGGTTTAGCTGAATATTCAGCAGTTATTAATAAATTAGATACAGTACAATTGTTAGTATAAATATCTATTTTTGAAAATGCATGTAACAAGAGAGTTTTTTAACACTTTACCACCATGTAGTCTTTCATGGTAATCTTTATTGAAGGAAGTTATAATATCAGTTCTACTTCCGATTATTGTGGTTTGTTTACATATTTTTCTAGGTCACGATATGAGTTAACCATCGCTATTCTAAAAATAGATTCTTCTTCACCTGTAGGCGATTAGGGATGTAATAAACCAGCGGATTACATGCAATAAGTATATATATAGAAATTCTATACAATTGTAAGAAGCAAACAAGTCGAAAATGGAATTTAGTGTGAAATTGAAAAGGACAACTAAACACTGTAGTGCTTAAGTGACATTTAAATTAAAATAAAAACGATGTGCTCTGGCCTCTTGTAAATAAAAAATATAAAACATACACTATTAATTGCAGATGATTTTAACCAAAAATATTTTAATGAGGCATATCCAAGAGAAATAAAATAACAGATGACATATTTTATTGTCTATATGCCCACTATGATCACACGAAGCAATTTTAAATAGCATCCTCACATGTATAATGTATTATGCTTGAAGTTTATTTGCATGGTTTTATTTTAGAAATATTTCGTTGACAGTTTTTTCTTCTATTTACATATCATTTCTTGGAATAAATCGATAAGGACACTGATTTAGAAGTTTGACCAGAGTTTTTAGCCATAAATTTCATTCTGTATTTAAATGCTTGAAAGTAGAAAATCTGAATTATATCAGTTTGGGCACGGATTTACATTACATGATATATAAATCCGTGGTTTGGGACACAAAATATATTGCTCTACAAATCTCGAACTTGTACGGAACAAATTTTCTCTGTTATATATTTTGTGTTTTGTTTTTTTTGTTTTTTTTGTTTTTGTTTTTCTAAAAAAAGCCTTAATGTCTCTCCAGTTGCATGTCCGTCGCATTCAGTGCTGCGCAGCACTTTGATTTACTAGAGCAGTCTAAAGACTTCTATATGTTTCTTCTCTCCCATACAGTGTAGAGCTGATGGAGCAAGCGTCCTATCTGACACATTGGCAAGCTGTAGTAAAAAACAACTAGATTATCTCTGGGACAGAGTTTATACTACCTTCTCCCAGTGTCTTCTTGTTATACCTGTAAGTGCATTCCGTTGTTTCTTATGAATATACATGTTTATATAGAATTCCTTCAGTGTACTTTTTCAGCTTTTTTTTGTCGGGGTGAGCAAGGGAAGTTTGAATATTGAAAATGATATTAGTTAATATGGTTAATTCTAGGTAACTGTAAAACTGTTCCTGAATTTCAGTATTTTTAGCTCAACTATTCAAATATTGTACTCACCAGGCGTCAGTGTCTGTGTCACACTTTGGTTAAGTTGTTGCATGCAAGTTGATGGATTGACCATCAAGATATGATCAAATATGTGTTAAAATCATCGTAAAAAATACAACTAGAAAAACAAAGGACTACCGTTACTTTACTGGTGTCATAGCCAGACATATTTACAGCTAGCTACTTAGATTTAACCCAAGTTTATGTTTATCACCATTACAAAATCTAGGAAGATTTAGATTCTGAAGATGGTGAACAGACAATAAAGGTTGTAGAATGTGTGACAGGACTTTTGGCGGCCATGTTGGCTCAAAAGGAAGTTCATGTTCCAGAAGGGATGATTCAGGTGGCCAGTGTTTTACAAGGTAAAAATAGACAAAAGTTGAAACAAATGTGACCTGGATTTTGTTTTAAAAGTATGTGATTAATAAATTTTAAACTCTAAAAAAATGTCACTAAGCTAACACTCTCCTAAGATTATTGTCATTTATTGTCTTTAGCAACATTTGAATGCTTAAACTTTTATCCTGCCGAATTTCCATGGATGACCTTGTCTAGATTTCCATATAAAGCTCGACTTTTTCAAAGAAATAAAATGTATTGCTACAGTCATGTTGTCACCCAAAAACTTTGTATTTAACTCATTACAGGACTGGAGCAGTACCTCTAGATGCTTGCACAAATTATGATCACAAAATAGACAAATACTGGTTGTTTTTTTATTATCCTTACATTTTTAACTCATTATCATAAATAAATTGGTTTTAAAATTCATTCCTTTCAGTGAAGAGGCAAGATTTTAGCATTTAATCATTCATGTGCCTTGTCCAGTATATACAGGAATACAGTATTTAGTGTGGTGCTCCAATCCTTTTTTTAGTCTCACTAAAAAACTTTAATATTGGTCATAACCTTTTATTTCTCAATGGATTGCCTTCATACTTAGACACAGCAACCTTTTGGACAAGACTTTAAAGTTGACCAGACTGATCTTTACCTTCACTCATAAATGACCTTGACCTTCAAGGTCATTTTTTTTTCAATTTTGCTTGATTGCTATTTTTATTTCCATACATGTATTTCTGCTGTGACTTATGAAGTAAAGGCTATTGTTGCCTATTTTGAATCTTCGGTCATTTATGTGGATGGTAAGTGCCATTTGCAATGTGTAAATTACTTTGTATGTACACTGTCCTTTTCTTTCATATGTTCACTGTCCTTTTCTGTCATAGATGTACTACCAGGAATGCCAGTTTCTAAAGATAAGGTGAAGAACAATGTGACACGAGTGTTTGAAGACTGGTGGAAGAAAGGTCTGCCCAACAAGGAAGGTCTGGTTATGTCAAGTTTTGTATACATTGTGGGGAGAAGCTTGGACCTGAGACCTAAACCATTGGTAATCTTATTTATAGTATATTATATTGAAATTGACTGTTTACTTAGTCTGTAGATTTTTGAAAATTGACTGTGTATCATAATCTGTAGGTAATAAATGCAGCACTTTTTTCCTGATATAACTATTACCGAAAGCGGCACCATTTCCAATCAAAAATCAGTTTTCTAACTTTCCACCTTTTAAATTCCAAAAATTTACGTGACAAATTCCCTTTCAAAATTGGTAAAATAAAAAGGTATATAATAGCAGCAGGGGAGAATAATGGATGCTAGTGAGTAAATTCCTCAGCAACATGTTGCAGGTCACCCAACTACTTCTGGTAATGTCTGTTGCATACATTCTTGGTTTATACCCATTAATCTTAAACCTGTTGGCAGCAAATAATATTGTTCATGTGACCAATGCAGTTCAAGATTAGCTGGCACATCCATTTGCTATTCAGTCAGTACTTATTTTGAAATTTTCCTTAGAAATTATGAATATTTATATTCAAATTGAAAGCTTGCCAAGTTCATTCAAGATATATAGGGTGATAAGGGTTAATATTTACACTAGAAGACATTACCTGAATTTGTGTAATGGACTTGTCCAGCTTCCATCGGCATAAGTCAGCAAACATCCATGCAGTTTGAGCAGGTTCTATACTGGTGAAAAAAGGCTAATCATTTATGGTTTCAACTTCTTTCCAAAAAAATAAAACCCTTTCTTACATCACAAAAATAAAATAAAATAATAATATGTTTTTCCGTACAGGTTGCAGATTTGAAGAGGGTATGGTCCTTGCATGAGGTTGTCCAGCTGATTGAGATGAATAATGAAAGTAGTAATGAGTTCAAAACCTTGTTACTGCGCTGTGTCATCTCACCACAGTATATGCAGCATGATGAGGTATGCTATCTTTCCTTGCTTCAGATCATTAAATCAGTCAGTCCTTTCAGTAAACCAAAGCAGGCATTGTTGGTTAATTGGCTAAAGCAGAAGTGACGGCCACACTCTTTTCTTGTAAGGATTTTCTTTTATACAGACTGCTAAAACTTATCAGATTGCCTTATGTTTCTGTGCTATACTGGTCTTGTATAGTACTCTTGTTAGACAACCCCTTCCCCCAACCTACCCTTGCTAGTTAGTCACAACAGGTTAATTGATTATCTTTAATACTTAGGATGAACTGCGATGTGCCTTTCCATGATAAGGACACCTCAGAAAAGAAATGCCAAACCATTATAAACAATATAAATACTTCAATAACATTTAAGCTTGTCTAACTGCTTACTACACTCAATTTTTTGGGGTGCTTTGAAATTAATGGTCAGTATTAGAAAGTTAGACTTTGATTGCTTTAGAATATTTTTAAAAGTGCAACAAGAATGGTAAAAAAATTTTTTTATCTAAAATTACAATTGTTTTCAGTTCTGTTAGTTTTCTTTACCTGAATTAGTATTTGAACGCTTATTTTATAAACATGTTCACTGCTTTAAAGGGACCCCTTGAATTTTATGCGTTATATTCAACTCAATTTTGGTATTTCTGAAAGTCATTAAAGTTAAATAACTCATTATTTTCATATTCACTTTTTTTTCAGGGCATAAAATTTTTAGGATACATACTAACATTAGATGAGAGATTTACTGGATTGATTCATACCACCATCAAAAACCATCTCCTATCAGTACCCAGGTAAGAGATTATTTACTGTTATTTCTGTAACAGTATTTTATTGTATGACAGCCACACCCACCTCCCCATCTCCTCTGTCTGCTAAAGAAAAAGGAGGGACTTTGACTTTTGGACCAGCAAAAAAATGGTAAAATACCCATACTCGGGTCACACCCCACCAGTCTGCTCTAAAGTCAGTATTAGCCTGGGATTATTAATAAGGAGTGCATTTAATAAAGTGTTGAAGTATTTTTTTATGTTTTGATACTTGCTTTAGTTTTATCAGAATATACTTTACTTTACTCCATGACATGCTACATGAATCAAAATGAGTGTTCCAGATTCCTGGCATGAATATTGGTGTACATGAATCAAAATGAGAGTTCCAGATTCCTGGCATGAATATTGGTGTACATGAATCAAAATGAGTGTTCCAGATTCCTGTCATGAATATTGGTGTTCATGAATCAAAATGAGTGTTCCAGATTCCTGTCATGAATATTGGTGTTCATGAATCAAAATGAGTGTTCCAGATTCCTGGCATGAATATTGGTGTACATGAATCAAAATGAGTGTTCCAGATTCCTGGCATGAATATTGGTGTACATGAATCAAAATGAGTGTTCCAGACAGATTCCTGGCATGAATATTGGTGTACATGAATCAAAATGAGTGTTCCAGATTCCTGGCATGAATATTGATGTACATGAATCAAAATGAGTGTTCCAGATTCCTGGCATGAATATTGGTGTACATGAATCAAAATGAGTGTTCCAGATTCCTGGCATGATAATTGGTGTTCATGAATCAAAATGAGTGTTCCAGATTACTGGCATGAATATTGGTGTTTAATGAATCAAAATGAGTGTTCCAGATTACTGGCATGAATATTGGTGTTCATGAATCAAAATGAGTGTTCCAGATTCCTGGCATGAATATTGGTGGACTTTCCTTAAAGTGTTGTCTTCTGTGAGGCCATCCTGCCACAGTATAAAAATGGGCATGCTGAAGACCTTAAGCTATTTATTGTAATGACAAAGTCAAATAAAGTGAAAGCAAGTTAACATTGAAGATGTCACACACTCGCACTTTCCACCTCAGTTAATATCCCATTAATCCCCACTTACCCCCCCCCCCCCAAAAAAAAAAAAAAAAAAAAAAAAAAAAAAGAGAGAAAAGTCAGGATAGACCTTGGATTTCAAATAAATGGTGCATTTAGTTTAGACAAAATTAATTTTTGTTGTCAACCTGATTTGGAAACATTTCCAGCTTTTTATTGTGATGTAAAACCAAGTTAACCCTGAAGAAGTCACATATTTGGTGTCAATGTAAAGATTGCCCTTTAAATCTTTCGCCTCATTAATATTGTAAAAAAAAGATAAGTTTCAAGTTGCCTAAAATTAGAACTAGGAAATTTGCCTTATCATAAATCTCCTATCAAATCATGTTAAATTGAAAATCCTTGATAACTAATTTAGGCCATTGTTTCCACTTTCTTTATTGCAGATCATGGTATGTTAAATATGGAGAAATATATTTCCGAGCATGGCAGTCTGGTTCCGTGACTCAGAAGATAGAGCAAGACTGTATCCAGGACCTGATATATCACGCTGTGCATGCCCAACCTGCACTAGCTCCAGCCTTGAAGAAAGTAAGATCATTGTCAAAAAACAGTGTGCAATAAGTTGCATACATTTATGAATTAATAAAAAGAATAAAGGATGTGAAACACACGAAACAATGTGGGTCAGGTTTCAGTAAATTTATTAAAGACCAAAGTTTCTGCTATCATTTATGAAAAGTTGGTATCTCAATACAAAAGGGAATGAGTTGAAGTTTCACATGCTTTTTTGAGAAGGTCACTTTCCAAGGCCCATATCTGTGAAACGAATTTTGACAGAATTATGGCCCTTTTTGAACATATAAAATTCTACATTATCCAGGCTATTGTTCTCTCATACTTTCTTACTGACAGCTCTTGTTTTAATCTTACAGGTATTGAGCTATATTCATGGTCAGAAGAAACAGCGAGATGTAGATGATTTGTTGTTTAGACTTTACGAACCCATAATCTGGAGGTCACTGACGGTAAGACACATGTCTGTAATGACAGATTTAAAATACAGAGACACATAATGTCTAAAAATAGAAAGATATGGGCAGTGATTATAGACCACAAGCCATTTCATGCATCTGACCATTTTAAGATTCAGTCTGAGTCAAACCTGCCCGTGTTTATTAAGCGACTTTTGTCTTAAGCAATCGCTTTAATCTTTATCATTGAGCGACTACTTTTATCTGTTAAGTCTGTGTGTTTTTATAGAATAATTAAAATACAATGTATGTGTGTTAAACTTGCAATAAAATTGCTAAACCATTAGCTTAATTAAGTACACATGTAATTTAAATTAAGCCAATCAAAACAAAGCTTAACTCCACCTCATACTGTAAATTTGTATTATATGCTTCTTTGTTTGATATTCAGATAGCAGTGAATTGACCTTGATCTTGATAGGCAGTAAATTGAATTTATGGTTGTAGACAAAGCTTATTAAGTAATATTAGATTACAAAATGCACAACAGAAAGCATCAACACAGGCCCCGTGTTCACAAAGATTTAAGGTTCGGGATCAAGATCGGGATCAAATTTAAAAACTAAAGTATTCTGCATTATTTATCTTCATATATCAACTATTCAGTATTAACTTGATAAAACTGGACTTTACATAGCATGTTTATGAAATTTTAGAATAAATTTATTGTTATTTTTAGCTCGACTATTCGATAAGAATAAGTAGAGCTATTGTAGTCACCCGAGCGTCGGCGTTGGTGTCCGCGTCGGCGTAACCATTTTATTTAAAAGTTTTTTTAAAAAAGTTAAAAATTTTTCAAAGTCCTTTGACATATGGTTTTTAAAAAAATTTGCACACTTGGTTCAACGGCAAATCATGGAACCCCAACCTGTAAACAGGAGGAGGTAACTGTAAACGAAGCATTTTGACAGAATTTTATGCCGCCCCTTTTTCGACATTTTTAAAAATTTTAACGTTTTTGAAGTTTTTGTAATAGTCGAAAAATTTCAAAGTTCCCCCCCATTTGACCACATTATGGCTTTTTGAATTTTTTTCCCCCCCCACACTTGTTTTCACCCTCATGAAACCCCCAAACCTGGTAAACAGGAGGAGGGTAACTGTACCATATGCATTTTTTTTGGACAGATATGGGGGCCCCTTTTTTTCGACTTTTTAAGAATTTTTACTTAAAAAGTTTTTTGTAAAAATAGTTTTCAAGAATTTTTCAAAAAGTCCCCAATTGGAAACCAATTAAATGGCTTTTGGAAAACCCTTTGCACAGTTTTTTCCTTTTCACCGGGCCCAAATTCCATGTTTTTAACCCCAAAAAACCTGTAAAAAAAAAACCAGAGGAGGTAACTGTATCAAGCATTTTTGACAGAATTATGCCCCCCTTTTTTTCGACTTAGAATTTTACGTTGAAGTTTTTGTAATAGTTCAAAATTTTTCAAAGTCCATTGACATATGGTTTTGAAACTTTGCACACTTGTTCACCATCATGACCCCAACCTGTAAACAGGAGGAGGTAACTGTATCAAGCATTTTGACAGAATTATGCCCCTTTTTCGACTTAAGAATTTACTTTAAAGTTTTTGTAATAGTTCAAATATTTCAAAGTCCATTTGAACATATGGCTTTTGAAACTTTGCACCACTTGTTCAACCATCATGACCCCAATCTGTAAACAGGAGGAGGTAACTGTATCAAGGCATTTTTGAACAGAATTATGCCCCTTTTTTCGACTTACGAATTTAACTGTTAAAGTTTTTGTAATAGTTCAAATATTTTCAAAGTCCATTGACATATGGCTTTGAAACTTTGCACACTTGTTCACCATCATTACCCCAACCTGTAAACAGCAGGAGGTAATTGTATCAAGCATTTTTTTTTACTATCAAGCACTAAGAATAGTCGAGCGTTGCTGTCCTACCGACAGCTCTTGTTACAAGATATGGACATTTTTCAGTTGATCCAAATTTTGAGCTTGATCCTGAAATTGATCCTTATTTTTATCCAAATATTTTTGTATATGTTTTGTTATTTGTTGACTTTATCCCAAAATAGGTTGGTTTCTTTGCAAATAAGCAATTATTTACATTTTAGAATAAGTACCATTTAATTAGAGAATAATATGATCAGTTTTAGTTGTATAAAACAATGAAAATAAAATCAGGATCATCTGATCCTGATCCTGATCTTTTCTTTGTGAAAACGGGGCCATTGGTGATTGGTTTAATGTCATGGAGGTAGATGAAATAAAATTTGAGGAGAAAAATGATTTCGGAAAAAAACCATGTACATAACTGATCAAATTTTTTTTGTTATTAACATTTGATAGTCATTTTTCTGTTTCACTGTTATACTAAAAGGGAGAGCTACCCTACTCAGTGTCACACTATTGGTTAGGCTCTTGTTTATTTTAATGTCATCAACAATATTTTTTGAAGTGATTTTTAAATGACATTAAGGGCTGTTTCCGCATGCTGGTTGTAAACTTTAATCAAATTTAAGGTTTCATGTAACTTAAACTCTTCCAATAATCTTGATCATAATAATTGTTAAGAATACATCTTGATAGGTGATTGATCAATTTTTATAAACATTTGTTTCTACAGGCAGCAAACAGTCAAGTTCGGGCGAACTCTGCTGCATTATTTTGTGAAATATTCCCGCTACAAAGTCCAGAACTTTCTGTCAAGGAATCTGATGATCTAATTCAGAAACAATTTGAACAGTTCCAGGTAATTTCTGTGTGTATTTAAGTTTATTTATACTCACGACCGACTGTTCATATGGGCGAGTCCTCTAGAAGAAGTCATTTTAGATTTCAGAGGATAGTGCAAGACTCAAATACAGAAAGATGCACCAATTTCAGAAGCTACTCCTGGTTCTTTAGCATGCCAAGTGTTTAGCACTCATATACAGGACCTCTATTTAAAGTCTTAGCTGACAGACGGATTAGTAATTGAGTAATTTTAGTTGGCAAGCCCGAATCGAACCCACAATGTAGAGATTACAAGTCTTGGCTTTAACCGATTGAGTTTTGCGGGCAGGTAATTTCTATACTTTCACAGTGATGTCATTAGAGGTCAGCATTGAACATTGGGGTGTCAATGACCTAAGTTTGTATATACCAGGGAGTGGGCATACAGTTGTTAACAGAAAAATGAGTATATTTACTGTAAAAACAAAATCGGGAAAAAAAATACCTACACACTGTAAGAAGTATGAAGCCCAACTGCTAATCAGCAAATTTTGATAATGGCCTACTGGTAATTTACAAGGTTAAAGTACAAGTAATGTTGAAGCCAAATGTGAAAATATGCAGAACTGATAAAAATAACAGAATGTTAATAGAAAATTTTTCAATGAAATAAGTTTTGAATCTAGTTATTAGTCTGATTAAATCTGTTTTAGAAAATGCTTGAAGACCCGTTTCCAAATATTCGAAGTTTGTCAGTTCTGGGAGTATTTCGTGTTATGGAGAAGTATTGGGAGATGATTCCGCAGGACACTTTGAAGAGCCTCACTGTGAAACTAGTTCAGGATAATCTCGCTGATTCGAGTTCTGCTGATGTACGGGAAAGTGTGCTAAAGGTTTGTATGCTTGATATCTATAAATAGTTCTTATAAAGCTATGGGTTGGCTGTAAATATCTAAAAACAGTGTGTAAATACATGTATCTATAAATAGTATGTAAATAACTCTAAACAGTGTGTTAATATCTAAAAAAGGTGTGTAAATATCTAACAAAAAGTTTGTAAATATCTGTAAATACTGTATTCCTAGAAAAGATTTCGCGCATTTTAAGTTAGCGGTTTTCGCGGTAGGCATGATTCCGCGAATCTTTATAGCCGCGAATATGTCACTTATAACAAATCCGCGAACATTTCTAGCTTCAACCAAATATAACATAAAAAGTGCAGAATATTTATTATAATCTACTTACACAAAACAACATATAAACACAGGTGTTATAGAAATGTGTAAAGAATTATTTATGTATGTTATTGATACTAGTTTGCACGCTGAAAAAGAAAAAAATCAATTATTAGTAATTAACATGCTTATTGACGTTATTTGCTAGTCACGGCGTTGACAAACGCATTTACAGTTTGCGAACATTGAATGACTTGGATTTTATTTGCTTGGAGTAGGTGTAATCCTTTGTTAAAAGTACAATAGCGATCAAGTGCTACATTGATAAACAGCTGTTATGTTGTTATAATGAAAGCTATGTACAGTCCGATAATGTGTAAAAATGTGTTAATCGACATTTTGAAGATAAAGTCAGTTATGATTCAAATGAGAAAAAAAAGCTAACGGGTCTGACTAAATCTTACTTAATAACATAATGAAAAAGGTAAGGAAATATGAATGTGTTCAGGGAACAACCGACTCCTTGTTCGGCTAGTCAATAGATGAAAATGTATCGAGTAACGTTGCACTCGCGACTTGTCAAAAAAATAAAATAATTAAAAGCACCCAACAGGCAAGGTCATGCATAAAAAACGTAGCCTCCAAAAACTGTAATTTAGGCCGTAGCGACTTAACATTTGCGGAATTCGCGGTTACTATATTTCCGCGAAAGTTTGTTTCCGCGAAAATGCCGACATTGTGAAAAACGCGAAATATTCTATCCGCGAACATTTCTAGGAATACAGTAGTGTGTAAATATCTAAAATAGTTTGTAAATATCTAGAAATAGTTTACTACTCAAAATATCTTAAATGGACTCATCCGCCTGTTTATTTGGATTTAACCAGTCATTATTTTTAGGGTATATTTCTAAATAACTATTGTCTGAATAGCGAACAATACAAACCATGATCAGACATCTATCACTAATTTCTTTAGGTTTCAAGCATCTTAATTGCTCTAAAATCATTATTTAAAAATATTTATAAAATTCATTTTTGCCCTTTGTAAAGAAGAAAAAATTTATTCGCTTCTGAGGCATAATGTGTCCTAAATTCATCCTAAAGAAATAATAATTATAAATTCATATAAACAAATAAAAAGTTATTTTTACATTTTTTCAGGGACTGGCAATACTCCTGGACAACCCACTTTGTCATTTATTCTTGAAGCCAGTTTTACCGGAGATCCGGAACTCATTTCACGATGTTTCAGAGAAGGTCAGGGTAGCGATGCTAGAACTTCTTAAGAAAGTGAAAAGCCTAAGAACTATCAAAGTAAGACTGTTCTTCAAGTTTCTTTTTATCGGGCTTATTTTATAGTCGATATTGTAAGCAAAAAATTGTTTCCAAAAATTGGATCAAGGTCAGTTGAAATGATCTCCACTGAGGCCCAAAAGCCTAATATCATAAAGACTGAATTTCTTACATAGATCAGCTGGGGCACCTAAAACAGAAAGATATACAAAAGATAATTAAGAAATATACTCGGAAATAGATTGAAAAACACATTTTTATGCTTTTATAGCCTGTTAAGATCGAAAAGCGTTGCAATGTTTTTCAATTTTTCGTCTGAATTATAGTAATTGTTCTGGGAATATGGAGAAAGCAAATAATCTTAAGTCTTGCACACAAGAAATTGGTGTAGTCCTACATAAAATGGAACATAAATCTTGAAAAATTATTTCCAGTCTTATCATGTAAAAAAAAAAGTGGAGACCCTTTAAGGGGGACAAGAACCAATAAACAAAATCTATATGTTGTATGATTTTGTTTAATGTTTACAGTCTGGCATCTTGTGTCTTGAGAAAACTTGTTTTATTGGCCTATTACAAGTCGGTAAAATTATCTTCCATGAAACAGAATTATTTTCCTTGTGTTATGGATCTTGATTTCTCAATTGATTGATTATGATACAGTGTATACTAATTTGAACTATGAATTTGTATGTCAAGTACTGGAATGTTGTACCAATTGAGCATCTGTTAGCGCGTCTAGCTGTCGACAGTGATCCTGTTAACAGGAGGATTATGACACTCATATTCAGCAGTTTTGTGCCAATAGATGCCTCAAGTAAGTTGAATTTTTAATTTGAATTTTTCTCAAAACGTTCTCATTTTTGTGTTTTACTATAAATACAAGTATTGTGTTGAATAAAATAAATTAGTTTTAGGTGCTTTGCTTGTAAATTTTTTATCTTTTCAGAATATCAACTTTATTCTTTTAACATTTTTTGTAAATCAAATCACTTTCTAAGGTTAAGAATGTTTTGGTTATAAAATTTGTGATAAAGAAAAAAGAAAGACAATCTTTTCAAAATATCAAATTTGTTATTCATACATGTATGTCATATGTAAAGTTACGTCAAAACTCTCACATGATCAGGTAAAAGTTTAAAGTGACATTATGCTTGTATGCTTGTATTTTCATTGTCAAGTTGAGTTGAATTAACATATTTCAAAAGATTGACTGTTACAAAAGTGATTGAACAACAGTTGATATTGAAATATGTTAAGGAAATATAATATAAAACAGCTTAAAACTATAAAAAAAACACACAAAAAACTGCCCAAACTTTGTATAAAATTGAACTTTACAGGTAAATTCCCATGGTTTTATGGAAATTTCCTTTGGCCACACGATTTATTTACTGTTCACAGGAAGTAATTCATAAAATTGAAAGGAATTTTTGTCAAATGGAAGCTTGTTTTTAAATTCACTTGTTCTTTCACTTTATACCCTTGGATGAGCATAAATAATGTCGCTTAATCATTTAGAGCTTATCATATAGTGTATTTTATGTTGCTATTGCTGTTGTTTTAAGATGATGAACAATTAGACAGATGTATAGCATTGATACAATCCAATCCTGTAGCTGCCAGACAGTTCTTCAGATATGCACCACAACACATGTCCCTGACTGATACAGGTAAAGATTTCAAACAATTGTAAATTTGAATTTGTAAACCGGTCCAAAAAAAGTTGTTTTATAAAATTAATTATGTGAATCAGTCTATTTCTGTTGTTTTATAGTGTTCAGTCTGTAAGCCAGTCTAGAAATGTTGTTTTGAATCTGTGGAGTCTGTAGTCCAGAAATGCTGTTTTGAATCGTTGGAATATGTAAACCAGTTTTGAAACTTTGAAGACTGTAAACCCATCCAGAAGTTCTGTTTTAAAACTTTGGAGTCTGTAAACCAGTCCAGAAGTGCTGTTTTGAGCCAGTATACCAGTCAATAAAGTAAACCATCAGACAGTATACCAGTCTAGAAATTTTGTTCTGAAAAAGTATCTTAACCAGTGAATCAATAGTCAAATCAAATTGAGAGTAGAGAAAACACAATGCATTTTAGAGGTAAGCCACTGAATGGAGTTTTGATTGTAATATTTTTGTGAACAAATAATTATTCCGTTATTTCAGTGAGTTATATTTCGATGTTGTGTAAGGCAGTTCTAGCCAGTATGAGAAAAGCTGGTGTATTCCAAGACAGAAATAATACCAATCAGGAGGTAAGTAAAATGAATAGCATTTAGATGAGAACTTAAAGGTCCATTTCAGTCCATTCATAAAGGACGTTATCCATTTAACAGATTCCTGTACTGGCTTTCATAGACCTCTTAATTACATACCTGTACACATTCCTTATTTTATTCCATGTAACAAAGATACAAAATTTACCAAAAAAACAAAGGGGCACCTGTTGCCGAGTGGTTAAGGTTTACCTCAAACAACTTTCATCTTGTCACTGTGGGTTCAAATCTTGCCAGGGATTTTGGATTCTTTCATGTAAGGAAGCTATCTAGCTAGCTGATGGAACATTGGTGGTTCTACTCAGGTGCCCACTCATGCCTGAAAAAAGGTCTTGTTTCACTAGTAAAGCTGGAAAGTCGCTATATAACCAACATGTATACTCTGTTGGTGTGACGTAAATCCCAACCAAAAAAAAATGAGAGAGAAAAGACTCAAGTCATATACAAATTCCAAAGAAAAAATTGTGATGAAACATGAATGATGTGTATTATTAACAGAGTTACAAATTTTGACATCTGTTTGGAGGCAAGCTGTTTTGATTTATAGGAATATACAAGCACAAATTTTTACAGGAAGGGTAAGAAAAAATAGAACAAATTCATAAATTTTGTATTTCTGTGCTACATTTCTACACTTGCTGTGGTAATCAAGATATAAATGTTTACAGAATATGAGTGACGAATCTTCTGTGAAAGAATCAGACATTGATGATGTTGATGATGATGACGGTGATGATTTAAAGATATCTAATACACCATTGATGAAAGGTCTGTTTGAGGCTATCTGTATACTTTGGACTGTCAGTGATAGCCAACTGAAGAAGGTAGGGAACATTTCATTACCTTGTTATGTTTTATTACTTTTTTTGTATTCAAAAGTAGAATCTATAGCAGGACTGGTAGAAGATATGTCAGATGAGTGAAAAATGGCTAAATTAGAAGACCGCAGGAATGAACATATTTAAAGAAAAGCTGAAACTTGACATGAGCGGCAAAATCAATTGTCCGTATTGCCCAGGTTGTCCCTCAGCCTGTACGGACAAGTGGAATTTTTCTATATAAATATCATACTGACAAGTTAAGAAATGCTTCAGATAAAAACTGACAGGGGTATGTGTAAAACACCCTCAGTATAAACCACATCACCCCATTCGGCTCATGCTCTTGTCAACAGAGTGGGCATTATATATATACTTTATTATATTGGCTAAGTTACAGGTTTTCCTTTTGTTAATGCTAACATATGGAGTGTGTTGATTTCAGCAGTCTTTCCCTTACAAGCATCCTGTTACTTAATGAAAACATTAATTTTTCATTTTGTAAATAAAAAAAAAACATTTACAAATAGATTTACACTGCTCTGTTGTAAATCACGAATGAAATGAAGGACAAGTAGCAGTAAGATTTTTTTTTTTGGTCCCTGCTATATGATGTAAGTAGTACGCATTTCTTGAGTTTAAAGTTAGCGACCTTAAAACCTCTTTGTATGATTTCAGGCCTGAGCTGGTGACATAGTTGACACATGTATTTGTCTAAAAATAGAACTGCCACTGTCTGCGAATCTTTTATAATGTGCTACAAAAATATTTGAGAAAAGAAATGCTACTGTCAATGCAGACTTTAAGTATTTTATTTAAATACTAGTATACTATAATGTGTTGTTTTTTTCAGGCATCAAATGCCCAGTTGAATAAAGCTTTGCAGAAGAGATTTAGCTATGCCTTGCCTGAAATGATTAAAGCTTTTACAGTAAGTCTTCTTTAATGAAGTTTATTCATTTGTATTAAGTTTTCATTTGCTCCAGTCCACTTTTCAAAGAAATTTGGCTGAGCTTTTTTTATGACCCCATCGTTATTGTATGTGTTGATAAAACTCTTGTAAGCTTTCCTGAGTTCATGGTAAACTCAAAGGATCAATAAAAAAAAATGTCCATTGCACACCATTTGGGTTGTTAACACTTCATAGGCTGTAGTTCTGATAGGATCTTGATCTAACTTTGTCAGATTTTTTTGTCTGGATAAAATCTTCAGCAGATTTGGATATGGTTCATTTGGGATCAAAAACTTTGTAACAATGTCAGGAAAACCTTGATCACACTTTAGAGACGAGAAATGTGAATTGCTATGGATAAAACTTGCTTAGAGTTAAGGTTGTCTGGGATTGAAGATTAGGCCAGTTGCAGAATACAATCTTTTTTCTCATATAATTTTGTTAGAACTGTATTGAGCAAGAAATGCATTTCATTACTATTGATATTGTTTTAAATGCTCCCTCCATTGCTATTTTCAGGATCCAGAGATCATATGTGTACTGGTACAGATTGCTGCATTTCTACCAGCAAACTATATACCTACTTTAAGGTATTACTTCTCAATTTCAAATTATTCATAGGATATAAGTATTTCAGCTTGACTTGAAAGTATAGTTGGGCCGTCTTACTCACCCTGCCTTACACTTTGTTTCTGTCTTGCATGTAGCTTTATAGACCCTTTCATTTAAGCGATAACAGTCAGTGAAGAGTTACTTCCCTTACCGGATGTGACTTAAATGGGGGATAAAATTATGCATGCCGCATAGAAAGTTAGCTTATAGAAAAGTTAAATGCGTAAATACTGATCGTTCAATCATGATTATAACATGTATAAAATTTACGCATACATACATAAATTCAAAATCAAGACAATAGAAAAAAAACAAAAGCAACAATTGAGATTAATTCTCGCTACCTCGGATTTATAAATCCGTGTCGCTACGGAGTGAAACAACGAAATTTTAAAGCGATTATATTTATTAGATCTAGATTTTCTCAAATGCCAGGATAAAAAGCTAGTAATTAAATCAAATTTTAATATTTTATAAACACACATACACACTGAAATTGCCTATTATAAATTTAAATGGCCATTTTCTAGTTTTCTGTGTTATTTTCTGTCATTTAGAAAATTCCGGCATATTTTGACAAACCTGTAAATAAGATTGCCAATGTCTTTTAATGGTTGTTTTTCAAGCTTTAATAGAACAATAACAGAATGCATTCTGTCAATACTTACTGATTCTTTTTCATAATGCCGTATAAAAAATTAATATTTCAAAGAACCAGTGAAGGATATAATTATATAAATATTCCGGAAAGAATGAATACCATGTGACATTGACTTTTATAATTTTAGATTCGCAACAGACGATGATAAGATAATTTTGATATTAACAATCTATTCTTTAAAGACATTTTCTATATATAAGGGCCACTGGGTCGTAACATATTAATTAACAGGGTACATAATTATGTTGTATATACAAGCGGCACTTGGCTGTGATATCATTAATCACCAGGGTGCATTTTTAGAGTTATAACATTACATCAGATTACGTCACTTTTGTTAGTTGTCAAAATATTAATGGTTAGAATTTTGTTATGGATCATCCTAGGGACTTTATTGATCATGCCTTACAGATTTGATACTCGATCCAGAGTCCTACCAACTGGCACAGTCAAAAATACATAAAATTATAATTCAGTTAATAACGAATTTCTGTGAACGTGTTTCACAACTTCTTTTTGTTGGTTTTTGTGATTTTTAGCTCGACTATTCGAAGAATATGAGAGCTATTGTAGTCGCCCCGGCGTCGGCGTCAGCGTCCGCGTCGGCGTCTGCGTTGGTTAAAGTTTTTTGTAAATTCAAATATCTCAATTATTGCTTGAGATATTCAATTGAAACTTACAATACTTATTTATAGTAACAATGTACATCAGATGGACAAGTTGCATAACTCTGCCTACAATATTGACAGAATTATGCCCCTTTTTAACTTAGAAATTTTGGTTAAAGTTTTTTGTAAAGTCAAATATCTCAATTATTGCTTGAGATATTCAATTGAAACTTGCAATACTTATTTATAGTAACAATGTACATCAGATTGACAAGTTGGATAACTCTGCCTGCAATATTGACAGAATTATGCCCCTTTTTAACTTAGAAATTTTGGTTAAAGTTTTTTGTAAATTCAAATATCTCAATTATTGCTCGAGATATTCAATTGAAACTTGCAATACTTATTTATAGTAACAATGTACATCAGATTGACAAGTTGGATAACTGTACCTACAATATTTTAAGAATTATGCCCCTTTTTAACTTACAAATTTTGCTTAAAGTTTTTTGTAAATTTAAATATCTCAATTATTACTTGAGATATTCAATTGAAACTTGCAATACTTATTTATAGTAACAACGTACATCAGATTGACAAGTTGGATAACTCTACCTACAATATTGACAGAATTATGCCCCTTTTTAACTTAGAAATTTTGGTTAATGTTTTTTGTAAATTCAAATATCTCAATTATTGCTTGATATTTTCAATTTAACCTTACAATACTTATTTATCGTATATAATATTTTACATAGTATATTTCAGTTTGCAAAATCACATAACTCTGCCTGCAATATTTACAGAATTATTTGCCCCTTTGAAACTTAGAAATTTTGGTTAAAGGTCTTCAAAGATATTTACTTGAAACTTTACACATGTACTTAGGGTCATAATTGGAGAGTCATAATTGTTGTATGTCACTGACCAAGTTCCATAACTCTACTCGCATTAAGGCTGATTCATCTCCCCTTTTCTACTTAGTCTCTTGGTTAATGTTTACATGCAAGTTTTACATATCTCAATAACTATTAAAGATATTTATTTAAAACATCACATATGCATTTAGAATCATAATTGTAGGTCACTGATCAAGATCCATAATTCTATCTTGCATTTAGGCTGATTTTTCTCCCCTTTTTCAACTTATAAATTCATGGTAAAGTTTTGCTTTTAAGCTGTTATGTCCATAACTACTGAAGAATTTGTGCCTTTTTGGGACATTTTTATGCATTCATAATAATAAAGCAGTGATTTACTTGATAGTACATCTTAATAACAAGCCTTTGTACCTTTTTCAGTCAATTTTATGTAATCATAGGTAATTAGCATTATTATACTCAATAAAACACCCTTGTGACAATTTTTGGATAGTCAGTATTGGCTTGACTATTCAAAAATTGTCACAAGGGTGAGTATAATAATGCTAATTACTGACTAAGAATTTACGATCAAGTTGCATACCACCTCAGATATTTTCCTATTCCATTGACATCTCGGTTTTAAACATGTTGAAATTTTATGCACTTCTTTGAGAGCATAATAGGACTCTCCCGAAGACCTATAGCCGTGGATTTAAAAAAGAATTTGGCCCTTTTGTTAATTTAGAAAATGTTACATTATCAAGGCTCTTTTAATATCAAACACTTAGAATAGTCGAGCATGCTGTCCTTCCGACAGCTCTTGTTTAAATATATGATAAGCAGAGTATGAATTAAGACGTATCAAGTTGAGAATATTACATTAACAGCTTAAATATATTGGTGTGATGTACGATTTTTGAGAGTGCATTTTTTGCCGACAAAAATAGTATACAGTCATGTACATTCAAAAGAATTTTTACTTTTTATTCCTTTACATTTTTTTTTGAAATTACATAGATTTATATTGATTTCTTTTCTTTGTCTTAGTAATGCTTAAATCAAAATGATTTTTAATAATCCAGTATGTTGCAATTAATTATTACGCAGCCGTTTTTCAAAACTTCAGAATCCTTACATTTTTGAAACTCAAAATATCTTTTTGGTATTGTATATTAGCAGAGACATAGATACATTATCTATATCTCTGGTATAAGCAAGTTAGTACGATTTAACTGCCTGGTCAAATTTTCATTATTAAGAATCTAACGAAAATGGTAATCATGATCAGTTACCCAGGAATATGGTCTACTATTAAAACAAATCATAAACCATATTATATAGTAAATATATTTATTTATTTCACCATCCTTTTTATGTAATATCTTATTCAATTACACAAAATTTTGGCAATTTCAATCTGAGAAAGTATTAAGATCTTTATATCCCTCTATTATTGTACTTAATCATATCGGCATTGTCCACCGTATCTCCCAATGACGTCATCCAAGGGCGACAACTTGAATACGGTCTTAAATGAAAGGGTCTATATACCATATATCAGCTTCTACCCAATAATTCATTCAGCCATTGAAAAAAGAAAAGAAAAAGAAAATGATGCATAAAAATCATTTGAAAATTCTCTATAAGCAGAAATAAAAATTCTGTAAAAAATTACGCCATTTAGCTCCATTCTCAAGTCATTGTAATAGCTTTTTACTGGGCATATACATTACAACTTCACTTTTAACCAGCGAATTAATTGTTAACACAGTTGCATCATGCTTACCATATTTGGTAGTATACACTCCAGTGACTACGTGACTTACTTTTTTGCATGCAAAATGTGTAATGATTGAAGGAATGTTGTCTAGACCAGTTTGTTTTGAAAATTGGATAATTAGTTGGATAGAATTATATTCCTCCCTCGGGTACTTGAAGGGGAATTTTTGTCCAATCAAAGGACAATTAAAAGGTATGAAACAAAGCTGTACATGATTTGTAAAACAGTTTGTGGTAGACTTGAAATTGGTATGAGATGTACTGTAAATTGATGAAGAATAAATTCCTGCATCACAGGAAATGCACTGATTGAAGCACATTGCGTGAGGGCCGTAAAGAAAATGCGCCAAAACCGCGAAAAACGCACTCTGAAAGAAACACTGAATGTCTGAGTTATGAACCCTTTTTGTAGATCACTGATCACTGTCCAATATCTTATTTATTGTATTCATAAGTATACAGCAGTATATAAATGATATAAATGTCACAACTGTCCAATGAGAATGAACGTTACAAACAAGATTAAATGTCAGAGCTGTTGAATTTATATTTTAGTCGAACCTGGTTACCAAAGTTACGAAACATGACGGCAGACAATAAAGAGGAAGATTTTGCGGTGCTTTTGGAATCTCTGTGCAGAAATGGTCGTGGTGCTGAAGTAATTGAATTGTTAACAGAGTGGCTGTCGACAGAACTGGGTAAGTGTGGAAGCCTGTCAAAGAATGTTTATGAAGCAAAAATATATGTACCTGTAAATGAGAAGTTAAATGGATAAGTGAGCTTTTTATCAGGATTTTTAATTTTTTAATTTTACAATATGATGCGAATATGCTGTCAGATTTAACCAGAATATACATTAATTCAGTAACAACAGTATAAAGATTTCATAACAAATTTACTGGTATATTTAACCTGTTAATTTAAATGCTCGCCCCTTGTCGGGATTTGAACCCACACGATTATATATGCTAAGATTGCTATTCTGATGCTTAATAAATTAGCCATGTTGTAACAATGATTGCCAATCAGATTGAAAGACGGACAAGATCATTAATGATATTTAGAATGGGAAGATTTAATTCTGAGTAACTGATCATCTCTTTGCTTCACAGGGGAAAATGATGAACATGTACCTGTAAAGAAAACAAAAAAGAAGAAAGTTGGATTTGTGGAACCAAAAGTAGCCCAGCCACAACTTGCACTGAACATGCTGTCCTATCTACAGAAGGATTCTGTCACACAGGACATTTTACTGAGAGACCATACACAAGACATTGCCAATGTTAAAAATATTCTTAAGCAATGTCTGGTAAGATTCTAAAATGATATAGAATAGTATGATACGAATTGATATTTTAAGATTGTTGCTTGATTTGACAGTTTTATATTGGAAATAGAGCAAACTTCAAACCACTTGCCCCTCATCACTGTAAGTTTGAATCTCGTCGGGGACTTTTGATTTTTTTTTTGTGTGAAAGCTCTAAAGCTAGCAAAAGGACATCTGTGGCTCTACTGAGGTGACCGTTCATGCCTGAAATAATGCACAGAGGGCAATTGAGGTCTTCTTCAACCAGTACAGCTTTGAAGTCGCAATATGACACATACTGTGTTGGTGGGATGAAACCCCCACCCCCAAAACCTAAAACATACAAAAGTTATGTGGTTTCAAGAGGAAGAAGGCAAGTATAGAAATTTATGTCCCTGACAAGGCAGTCTTAAAAATATTTGGTATTTCTAGATAAAATTATATTTTGTAAGTGACACTTGAAACCATGGCACTGATGATTCAATAATAGTTGAAGATTTCACTTCAACTTTGGGGAACAGTTATCTTAATGGATAATATACATTTTGTATACATTATATTTTAATATATTCAGGGTAAGATAGAGAATTTACTTGGTGGTGGATCTAGTCAGGTAAATACTGACCACTCTCTAATGACGGCATCATTTACACTCTACTGTAAACTGACTCTTCTTCTTCATTCAAAAGTGAGTATTTATAACTATTTTTATAGACATTTTCGCATAAAAATTTAAGTAAATCAAATTTATCTGAGTTACTATACATAGCTGTTATGAAGTCAATATGTCAAAATAACATCATGTCACATACATATGTTAAGATAAAAAAAACCCCACTAATTATATTGCTTTGGGAGCAGTGATGAATTTTATTAAGGTTAAGTCTTACTGTAATGCTTTCTGACCAAAAAATTGAAAGAAATTGGCCAACAATGCCCAAAACCCGTAATTTGTTAGTCATTTCCAGAATGTTATTTTTCACAATCTTCGGTATTCAATTGTTTTTAACAATTTTTAACCAGAATTTAGTACAAAGTGATATAAGATGAGTGATTGTAAATAATATAATGCCCATGATTTCAAAAAAATACCATTCCAGAAATAACCGATTTGCTACGATATTGGCTGATGTTAGATTTTTTTTGGCGGGAAAGTATTACAGTAAGACCTTATTTAATACTTTTTTTCAGTACAGTAATAATGTATATATTCTGTAGTTTCATATTGTTAGATTGTGTAGTAGGAGCACTTTGTAATTTCTTGCATGTCAGACAGGATTATCTACCGTTTACACCGGTGCTAGAAAACCCTGTCTTACACCCCCCATGTAAGACAAGTCGCGTGCTTTAAATGACGTCATTACTGCGCGCCTATTATGAATGAATTTCGTTCTTAGGTTGACGTCACTTAATTGTTATGAATGAAGTTGTAAGTTCATACGCTACTATAAGAAAAAAGTGCATTATTAAAATATCAGGTTTTGTAATTTCTGTTCTGAAAATAATTGATATGTAATATGCAAGAAAAAGAATCAAACACTGGCTGTCAGTGCAGACGGGAATATCTAGCTCTCGGGTAACTGTTTAGCGGTAACTCGGCAGAGCCTCGTTACCGCCGTAAACAGTTACCCTCGAGCTAGATATTCAGGTCTGTACCGGCAGCCAGTGTAAGATTCTTATATTCTATGTTATTTGAAGGAAAACTTTAAAACAATTTGTATGTCAGACATATCTGTGCCTATTTACATTCAGATGAAACAACGTCTTAAAGGAGCATTATGCCTCAGAACTGCAGACTTTTTTATTATTTATAAATGTTTAACATGTGTCAAATAATGTTTTACTAATGAATTTAGAGCATGTAAGAAAGTAATGCTGAACGTCAAGTTATTTCAATATTTGTCATAAAGGTAGCAAAATAGTAATTGCCAACAGAGCAAAGAATGTATAACATCTAGATCTATGTGGCAAATGAGTAACTTTTTTTTTAAACTGCAACAAGATAACAAACATAAAAGTTTTTGAGAAATAAGAATAATAGCAATTCTGAGGCATAATGGGCCTTTAATGAAAAAAATGTTTTTATTACCAGGATAGCATAGGTTACAGCTGTGTTCAAGAGTTTGAGGAGCTGCTTGGATGGACAGACAAACATGCCTTGCCGGTTCTAGGTGTCAAGTTAGAGGCAGATTGTGATGCAGAGAAACAGGCTAACAGGAAGCTGGTTTATGATATAATATGTGTATGTATACCTGTATTAAAAGTTATTTTTCCTATGTGCAGGTCTTCTGCTCACAGTTTGTTATAAAAAAATAAGAATTACTTTTGCAAAAGAGCTTTCATAAATGTGCATCTAAATTGACTGTATTAGATGAGAAAAAAAGACATATCATTCTGTAGAATATGAACTTCTTGGTTTAAGAATCGACTCAGAATCATGCCTGGGACTTTTATTTCTATTTCATGCCTTGTGGTTATACTTGGTTGCTTGCTTTGATGTCTACCTCGTGGATATTGTCGAGTAACCCCGTTGAAGTTGAAATCTAAGATATTGCACCAAGGGCCAGCCTAGGTCTTTCTCCATCAATAAAACTGGAAAATATTACAAATTCTTATATAACTGAACCATTTTGAAAAGAATATAATGAATTAACATAATCTATGGATTGAAATTCTACAATTTTATGTCACTGAAAAATAGAATCATCTTTCCTGTAATTTAAATTACTGGTTAGTTTTCCAGGAAAGTGAGATAGGTGTACCAAGATGTGTCCAAAAAATGTGTTAAAATAGCCTGAAAAAACAAAAAAAAAACAAGCACGTTCAAACAGTTTTCTATCTTGTGACATTATTTAATACAATTATGCTCAAATTATTGTAGATTGTTGAATATAATGCAGGTTATGTTGAATACATTGTAGGTTTTGTTGAATATATTGTTGGCTTTGTTGAATATATTGTAGGATTAGTTGGATATATTGTAGGTTTTGTTGAATATATTCAACACAATGATGTTACTTGGTGTAGGTGACAGCTCACTGTGCAACAAACTTGTCGACTTTTGTACGTCATGTCTGGTAGCAGGTAAGTAAAAGAAAGAGCATCATAAATGAATGAGGCTATTTGATATGTATGAGTAGGCAAAAATTAAAAAAAAAACACTTTCCCTTTATTCACATTATGAAACCCAAGAATAAATAAATGAACCAATGTATGAGCATCTGAATATGATTTTCCTGTCATTATTCCTTTTCCTGTTGTCATAATAAGTAAACCACAGAAATAATTTAATCAATCAATGAGCATGCTCTATTTTCATCCCCAACAGACAGTGTGGTAACTAGAGTACAGCAGGTAACTCATACCTGCACTGCAGTTAATGCACTGTGCATTTATAAGTATATCATTTAACTCTGACACATTTTCAATAGAAATATCTAAAAATTATCATGCAGTTATCATATGATATGTTGGTTTGTCTTTGATCAACCTGCTTATAACTTTGTAAAACAAGTTCAATTAATTTTAGTAATGAAGTTAAGCGAATATGAATATAATACATTTGTATTGAATATACCATTTGAGAAATACATGAACGCACTGTTTACACTAAAAAAGAAATACTGTATCATGAACATTAAGCTATGCTTGTGTAATGCCACGCCTCATTGAAATTTATGCACATCTGGGATGTATCATAGTTACTGCAGTCCTGCACACAAGAAATATATTTAATGGCCGGATAATATTTTTGAATTTTTGAATTATTATTTCCCACATGGATTAATTAGTATTTTCATAATCTTTATAGATCAAGATCTAGAGTTACTTCCCCTGGCAATGTTGTGTATTTACCAAGTGACAGAGTTTCTACAGTATCAGTCCGAGCAGACCGAGGAATTAAACAATACAATATCAAATGCTTTCAGTAGAATTCTTATCATCATAGCAGGCTATGTGAAAAACAATGAGGTTAACAGCCGAAAGGTAAATTTGTAGCATTAATTAATGAGTGAGATTTGAAAAAGGATTTGAGCACCAAACTCAATACAGTATTCTAGTATATAACGAACAAGGCGCTTGAATGATTAAATGCTAAAATCTAGCCTTTTCACCCAACAGAATGAACTTTAAAAGGTCTATTTCATCTTTACACACCAATTTATATGATAATGAATGAAAAATGTAAGAATCAGTGGGGAAAAAAACCAACGTTATTTGAGCCGCGTCATGACAAAACCAACATAATGGGTTTGCGACATGGATCCAGACCAGCCTGCGCATCCGCGTTCTGATCAGGATCCATGCTGTTCGCTTACAAAGTCTATAACAAGTAGAGAAACTGATAGTGAACAGCATGGATCCTGATCAGACTGCACGGATGCGCAGGCTGGTCTGGATCCATGCTTGCCGCAAACCAATTATGTTTGTTTTGTCATGACGCGGCTCATTTGTCTATTTTGTGATCATTTGGTCTAGAGGTACATCTCAAATCCTGTAATGAGTTAGTCCTTAATTAATACACATTTAGGTTAAAGTGAAAGAACAGATTGTAGTCCAAACAAAAAGTTATAGTTTACCCTATAGATCACTGCAGCTAGTCACATTGTATTCACCAAGCCACAGCTCACTCACCACACTGTTCTGGCCATGCTGTTCAAGTGTTCAAAGCTAAATCTAATGAGATATTTTTATGATATTTATAAACGGTGAAATTACATTGTTTTCATAATCATAATTCATATGGTCGATTCTCCTAAGAGTTGTTTTGTAAAATGTTTCTGTTATTTAACACATATGAAAACTGTGTGAAAAACAGAATAAAATGTTCTGGAACAAAATATGATGCTGCTATTTTAAGTAGGTTTTTTTTGCCATTTAGCAATGGGTTGGTGAAAGCTTCTTTCATTTGAAAGGAAAAATACCAATGTATTTCTTTCATACAGGCATTCTGGAATTTCTCTTTTTCAAAATTCAAACAAAAAAATTATTACCTGCAAGCAACAAACACTCTTGTCAAACTGGGTTGCTGGATTCACAATTCAATGCCCTACTAATAGAGCTGACTGGGCAGTGGTTTGTAAAGATTATATTGAGTAGAGCCAAAAGAGCAATGTTATGGAATGCCTGTATTGTTTTTAACATTATTTGTATTAATTAAAGCTGGTCTTGAATATAAAAACACATGCTAGTTCTCCTTTATTGTTTAACATGTTTGGCACAAATCCTGTCGCAGAATAATTTTTTATAGAATAATAAATACCCCAATAGAAAGATACCCCCCAATAAGATTGTCATTTTGTTTTGTGTGTGTTGACCCTTTCAGCTTGAAAGAGGTCTTAAAAGATTTCCCATAGGTGAGTAAGCAAGACTCAACCTTAACCACTGAGATTTTCAGGTATTTTGGTTGTTTATGAATGAAATATATTTAACTGTAAAATTACTTAATAAATTGTAAGATATTAATATTATTCTTCCTCCAAATTCTAATCTCATTAAGAAAAGGTGAATTTAAGCTTTTTTTTAAAATTTGAAGTATTTACATTCTGATTTTCTTGCAAGTTTTATAAAATAATCAGATAAAGGGAGGTAATAAGCATTTGGTATTTTTGTTGATGTAAGGGAGATAATAAAAATAAGACTTGGTTTCTGCTTTAGTTACTTGGAAACATAAAAGCACATGTTGGAGAACTGATAAAAGTGATATTTGGACCTCTGCCTTTGGACTCCACACTGGTACATGATGTGATGGGCACAATTTTGGCAGCCGTTCTTGCTGAACTTTCCTCTTATAGTCAAAATGTAAGTATGGTAATCTTCAGTATTCTAAAATGTTAATTCTAGTTACTCCATTGACTCTTCTGTTCCACTTATAGGTTTTCTACTTTATTATTTATTCAATGAAAATCAGAATAAAAAAATTACAAGTCAGGAAATCGGTAACAAGAATTGGATGCATAAAAAGTAAAAGTAGTTTTTAAGGGAGTTTTGTTTGTTTGTTGGTTGATTTTGTGCGTTTTTTGGGGGAGGGGGGGTTTAAACCAAAAAAGTAATTACAAAGTAGCATTTGTAATGGAATTATTTTGCGATAGTGTCATTTTGTTCACTTTATCAGTTCTCGCTAAAATCTTCTTTACTATTTCACCGTGACATCTTGAGGATATTTGCTATAATTTCAGCTTGAGAAGAATTAAAACAGATTAACTGAGTGAAAAATGTAACTTTGGTTTAAAATGTATCACAAATAGTTGCAATAGGTTGTTTTGAAGGATTCTTTGACACTGAAAGTGATGCCTTATTCTCTCTTAACTTCAAGACATTATGAACACGATGCTTTTCCTTCCTCTTTATAGTCATATCAAATCAGTCAGGCGATTGATTTGCATTTTCTTGTTGAAAATTGTTAAATGAAACAATGAGCTGTTCTTAATAAAATCAAGACACTTCCAGTACATAAATGGTAAACGTGCTTAATACTTTACTGTTTTTTTTGTTTTATTTCTAGGATGATTTAGCAGAGAGTCCATCATTTGACACATTACCTCCCCTTTCTGGATGGCTTCTGGATATACTCACGAAAAAGAAACATTTAAACAAGTAATGATATACCAGTATTATGACAATAACTTGAAGAAACCCATTGCAAAGTTAGGATTTTGTAATGTTTGTAGTGTATTTTTGTATGTAAAAGTAACTGTTTTTGATGATTAGAACTGTATAATCAGTCATTAATTGCTTATAACATGTAAGTTATTACTTGAATATTTACTCATTTTACTTTTTTCTGAAAATCATCGTACATTTTTCTCTGGTTCGATTTCCTTGAAATACTTTGGCTCATCTTGAGGTGTGCAGCTTTCATATCATATTTTTTGTTCTTGGTTTTCTTTTACAGATTTTTCCTGGATGAGTTGATAGATTGTGCAGAGTCAGGAGCTATCAGTGACCTTCACAAGATGCACGGAACCATACAACTTCTTTGTTGTGCGGCAACATGTAAGATTTCTTTACCTCAATTTTAGGGATGATCCCTTGTTGTAGATTTAAATGTCAAATCGATGCTATCTAGTATATTGGGTATCTTACACCTTTTTGCTGGTTTTAGCATCATTTCAGGCACTCTCTAAGAGATTTAGATGTTAAATAGCTAAAAATTAGGTAATCAACTGTATGGTGTCAGGTGAGACAGAAGTTTAAATATGTAGGCTGCTCAGATTGTATACTGATCACATAAACCTTTCTATACGTTAGTCAGCTCTCAAAAAATTTAAAGTGACATTATGCCAATGCAAAAGTATATAGTGAGTAAACAGGTGAATGTGTCAAAGTAAGTTTTCATTTTGCCATAATTCCTTTCAATTTTATAATTTTCTTCACTCAAAAGATAAATAACTCACATCGCCCTAGGAAATTTCTGTAAATCCATCCGAATTTCATCTGTATCATTCAAATTATAAAAAGAGTGGGGCAGTCTTATTTAAGGCAGGTTTATACTTAATTCAAAATATTTTCTAACATCAACTGTTGGTCAATCCCCATAAATAAAATCAATCTTAAGAGATAAGTGCCAATTCAGCTGAACTTGACAATGAAAAAATGAGCAAAATGTCACAAAAATGTTCAATATTGATATATAGCTTGTGATCAATGAAATACTTGTTGTTACAGGTAAATCATCTGAAAATGAAACAAAAGAACTATTGACCATTATAAACAAACAGATGGACACACTGAAAGAGGGTTTAACTGAGGAGGGTAAAGATGACCTCAGGTAATAGATTAGTTATGAAGAGTTTTGACAGGTTACTGGTTATATGGGTTAAAAGGTACGGGTTATATATCATATTGTCAGCTATGTGTACATGGCCATATACCAAGTAACCTGCTGAGGGCATTTAAGTGAACTTAGGTAATGCACAGTTGTTTTCTTTGATTTAGATAAAAATAAAACGAAAAATTGTGACAGCCATATAATTTATATACAACTCCATATGGCAGTTGATAGACAATAAGTATGGACATGCATGATTTTACAATTAACCAAGTATGGTCTGATTAACTGGGTCTACATACATGCCAAATTGTTAATTGGTTGGAAAAAAGTGGTCATATTGCATAATAGAGGGGATTGTCTCAATTTTGAACTATTGAAATAAGTAGAAAAAAATCTGTTCTTTGAAAAAAATTGGTCGTAATAGCAGATTGGAAGTGAAAACGGGTTGGTTGTTGGGTGGCGCTCTACTGTAGGTAATTGTATCTGTGGCAGTTTTGTATGTTGATAATAATGCTAATGTTGCCTGATGACATAAGTGTATTATGAAATTAAATGTTCAAATATACATGAATATATTATAATTATTGTAATAATATTATTCCAGTAATAAACAGGTAGAGTACAATTTATAAACCTTTTTCATATACTTGTAAATATTCGCTCATTCAACACCAATAATAATATTGACTTTAATATGTTTGTATATTAAATTCATATGTTTTACATATCTTTACTTTATTTCAACAGGTCTGTGATACTAGCATTGGAGGAGAAGTTAAAGAATTGTCAGCAAGATATACAAGTTGTAGAGTCCTAACATTTTACAAATTTTATTCAAGTCTTATGAAAGAAGAGACAGACTGTTTTATTATTTACTCATCAAAATTTGTTATGGATATTTATCGCTTTCTACCTGTATAAGTTGATTTACATGATTTTCAGTTAAAAATTACGAACCCTCCTTGGCATGTATGCAAGTGGCTGTAGTGTAATTATGTTTCAGTTTTTGAATTACGAACCCAAATAATTATGTACACTAGTGGCCATAATCATATCTTCTCAAATGATGATGTCACGTTTAGGTATAAGGGAAACTTAGAAAGATAGCAAGAGCGGCTTCAGGTTTATTATTATATGACGGGAGGTTAGTCAATATATACCGGTTTATTAGTGTTTATAATCTTTAAAGTACTTTAACAGCCAACATGATACAATGTTACAGGTTGGTCTTGTTCTGTACTTGTGACACAGTCAAGTCTGTAGTTATATGTAGGTGTAACGGGCTGGACAGGTTATGTAACTGTGACACAGTGAAATCTATAGTTACATGTAGGTGTAACAGTCTGGTCTAGTTGTGTAGTTATGAAAAGGTGACACAGTAAAGTCTATAATTAAGTGTTACTGACTGGGCTGGCTATGTACCAGTGACACATTCAAGTCTATAGTTAGGTTTTACAGACTCAACTGGTTATTAACTGATGACACATTGAAGTCTATAGTTTGTTTGTTTGGGTTTTATGCCACACAAACATAGTATTGATCATATGTCGACATTCAAGCTTTACTGGTGGCAGAAGACCTAAGATGTCATCCTGCGCATTATTTCACCTGAGTAGAACCACTGACGTACTGTAAGCTGGCTGGATAGCTTCCTCTCATGAAAGAAAAGTTCCTGTCAGGTTTTGAACCCACAGCGCTGAGGGGCAAGTGGATTGAAGGCAACGACCTTAACCACTCGGCCATGGACGCCTTCAAGTTAGGTTATAAATTGTGCACTTTAGACACAGTCAAGTCTATTGTTATGCGTAGGTGTAACAGGTTGGCTTAGTTAAGTATCATTGAACATTCAAGTCTATAATTAGGTGTTTAAGGTTGGCCTAGTTATGTTCCAGTGAAACAAGTCTAAAGTTATGTGTTACAGGCTGGCCTGGTTATATCACACCATCAAGCCGAGAAAACTGCAAACTCTCAGAAAGTGAATTTAATACATTATAACATATCTATACAAAGCGCTTTTTTAAATAATTAGTGATGTTTCTACTGAATTATGAATTTTAGTATATATACATTATATAGCATGTATTTTTAAGGATTGATCCATTAAGTGATAAACTGTACTTCTGCAAATTTTTACATGTAAAATAAAAATATATATATACTTGTACATGTATAAACTTGAAGTAAAGTTTCTTTCTTCTCTCCCCAAACACACTGTTAAGCAGCCCACCGATCAGTAGGATTAATGAAGAAATATATTTTCAGAAGTTGAAAGTTAACTGGTGTAGTGTCTGGTATTAATGCTGCAAACTCGGCCTGGCTTTGTGCACCTAACCGGTCTATGTTAGTAAACAAGGGTTTCTATATATCAAAATAACCGTTAGGATCTGTAGTATATGAAACTGCATGTTGCACTGACCTAACATGTGTCACAACATTTTTATCCAAGATGGCGTCCAAGATGGCCGCGGTCAGCTTTGTGGACATTTAATTACATATTTTACATGTTTTAGTTGGATTCTTTTTCTAAATTTATGTATTATTTTCATTTTAAACATTTTTTAAACATTTTGTAAGAGTTATTACAAGTCCTGAGGGAGTTTAAGAAAATGTTATCAAAAATACAGGAAAAAAACCTAAAAAAATACGCTAAAAATGAATACCTGTATTTATTAAACGCAACATATTGTCATTTTCTTTCCAATCACAATTTTTAAAAATCTTGATTATACATTAAAACATTTTATACACATACACTTGTCTTAATAATAGCTGTGATTATTTAATTACCAATCTGTTTATAAGTGATATAATATAACAAAAAAAATGACATCATCAGTGTAGAAATGTAAAACTGTTTTTATACAGTACATTTGCTCTAAACAGACAACAGTTCATTAAGAAATTGGTGCATTTCTCTTAAAACAAACTTTAACATACCAAAACACCATGTAGCATTAAATCATTTCATAATGTTATCTTCAGAAGTTTCATTGTACAAAGATGTCATTGTGAAAATATTTGTACACATTGGTCTGTCTTCTGAATCATTCGTGCAGCCAATACAGACACAGGCAGAGGTGCATGGTATCTGATTTTTAAAACACGAACACAGTTCATTGCAGATAATACATGAACAAACTACATCCTTTAGAAGTTCTGGAGCCGCAACAGACTGAGACATGGTAATAGGTTCCAACACTCCAGCATCAGTTTTTTTGTATCCAAACTGCGAAGGCGGTGGCAAATGTTGTACTGCTATGGTTGCATTTCGCCAAATATACAGTTGTAGTACACATCTCAGACAATGCAAAACAAAACTGTTTTCAGAAGGAGGCAAGTATCGAGGAGATAGAGATTGCAATGCCTTAGAGCAACGAAGGGCATTTAATGAAGTACATTCACTGCTACCATAGAGATCAGCAACAAAACTAGTACAAGCCTGCTTTTGTGATTGTGTGAATAAAGCCTCTTCTCCCATGTCTTTTAATCCTTGATATTTGGATGCATTTTGAATCAATAGTTTAAATGCTTTCTTCTTCCCTTTGCCATAAAATGAACTTGTTGTATCACATCCGGATAAACAGTATACTGGTAAGATGATGTTATGCTGCTCTTCAGTTAACATATTGTATAAGTGGTGAACAGATATGTACCTCTTTGTATCGGTATGTACTCCTGTTCTTCCGGTCACGAAGAAAAGTTCTTCTATACCAATTGTTTGACAGTGATGGAGAAGGAGAACAAGCACATCTGTATCAGGGCTACTCACTGCAACAGAACGAACGCCTTTGGATTTGGCAAATGCAGCATGAAGAATAATTCTTGAGTCAGCTTCTTCCTGATTGCTGTTTAATTCTGGAACTTCTTCGCAAGAAGTCTTTACAACTTTGAAGCATTTATGATTTCCACTGATATAAATTGTTTCAGCATCATTTATGTGCAAGGCTGCATGTTTGATAATGTACTCTGTAAAGTATTGAATTAGACTTTCCTTGTTTTTACCAATTGAAATAAATGCCTTCCAGTTCTTTGGCAAACGCAGCTGCCCATGGATATGAAGAGTGGCTGATGACGAGACATCACCTCTTTGCAATCTTGTTTGTGACTTCAAACTTTCAGGGTCATATCTGTCAAATATGAGGTGTAAAGATTTTACACCTTCAATACTATGTGCTTTCATAAGAACAAATTTAAGGAAGTTATTAGCTACATCATCAAATGTAAGATTTTCAGAGGGAGGAGTCATTGCTTGTACAGAGGCCATTGCATCCAACAATAGCGTGTCTACATTTCTAATACTAGTTGTCTGATCTTGAAGCAGGTTTTCAAGCATCTGCATGAAATCTGACTTTTTACATTTGAGCATTGACCCATCTTCAGAGAACATACTCGTTGGAACCGCTGTGTTTTCATATGCAAACACCCGTTCTTGTGATACTTTTTTATAGGAGTTGACAGCTAGTAGCCGCTGAAACATAACTTCACTGGATATTGTTTTTAATTGCTGTTTAGTTTGAGTTCTTTTCTTAGGCTCTGTCATTGTGAGAATTTTATTTCTTGTCATTGGGCTATGGAAACTTTTCAAAGGTGGGTCAGTTCCATCAGGTTTTACAATTAATCTTTCCGAAATAAACTTGTTCATGAGTTCTTCACCTTTATCCAAGTAATCTAACATGCTCTTTTCCACTTCTTCTGTAGCTTGGATACAGGTTGCAAAATTGACTAGTCTTGGTGGTGTTTTTCTTGTATTAAAGGGGTCAATAAAATTAGCATCGAATGACGAAGCCATTTTTGCTACGCTTCTGTTGTATTGCTCGCGTTTAGCTTTGCTGTCCGTATGATGCTTGTGCTGCTGGTCTTTCTCTGAACAAAGACTCTTGTGAAAGTCTGCAGAGTACCGAGAGGAAATTGGACGTGACAAAAACCATCTTGTGAGGGCACCTTCCTTCAGTGTTAATCCAATTATTCCACCTGCCCCTTTCAAAGCTTTATTTTCAGTTACTTCTAGAGTGTAATCTAGCCATACACTGTTGAATTTGCCCGAAGACAATTTAGCAGTAAACATACCCTTCTGAAAACCTTCCTCAACATCTTCTGGCAATCTATTCATCTGTAAGACTTGGACAGTTATGTACTTTGCATATGTTGTTCTGTTTGATGCAAATAAAAAAGGAAGAAGGCAAAGTTTGGCATATTTATGAATGTTCCAGTTTGGACTTCTTGTTGATGAGATGAACAGCTTCAGAGGTACTGATATCCTTCTAAGATAATCATCCCATAATCTAAAAGTAGGAGAGATATTTCTGGACTCTTTTCTGAACTCCTCAAGTAATGAAAACATGTTATTACTTGCAGCCTCACACCATGTCTCAATTTCTGTATCTGTCACCTCAGTCTGATCTTTTAATTGAAGAAGACTAGTAATTACTTCCTCGTCAAAATCCCTCTCATTATCAATACACCAACTCTCAAAGTTTATCAGTAGTCGGGTATGCAGCACCTCATCAATTAGTTTAAATGCTGTGAGACCACGGTCAAAGTCTTTCCCAGCTAGAATATTGGACGCAGTGACAGAGGAGTAAACCCCAGACTCAGAAAGAAGTTGAAAAAGACCAGCATCTCCATAGATGTGACCAATGCCTGCAAAGACAGACATAAGCATATGCATTCCTCCCTCACATGGAATGATACCCTGCAGTTCTTCTTTTTGACACCATACTATTTCAAGAGCTTTTGACAATAAACTCATGTCGAATACTACAGGTGCATATCCTTGGCCAAGTTCATTCATGCATTCCTTTAGCCGTAAAAGAACAGTGTAAACGGTACTGTAATCAGTTGGTGTTGCCATAATAATTGGATTGTAGGCAACATTGGAGATACTAGGAGTGTCTTGCATGACACTGGCTTGAAATGTATCCCATGGTTGGAATCTTCCTAAGCTGTTTTCTGCTTGATCCTCACAAAACACTGAACATCGACCAAAATTAAAGAGCAATTCCTTCATTTTTGCAGCTTTAACTGACATACATTCAATAGGCTTAACTTCCTTCTTGGTCACTGGTGGATCAAAGTGTGGACATGGGCGAGAAGTAGGTTTCTTGTATGCTGTGATGTGGTACAAACTGCCTCCTGAAAAAAGTTTTTCATCGTCAAACATACTTTTACATGAATATAAACTTGGTAACACATAAATCGTTGGCACAATTTTTCTTGAAAAAATTGCATCCTTAAGCATATGAAACTCATTTCTCAAAAAAGATTCTCAAAATCAGATTTTAGAAATGTTATTAATCAGATTTTTTTAAATAATTTTTATGGAAATCATTGCTTTTAATGAACAGCTTAGCCTCTAGTTAAAAGGTTCAACCTTCTCAGTCACATGAGTTAATCCTTTTATTTCTCAAATAATCTTACCTGGAAAAGCTGCTTTGTCAAAGCTTCTATTTGGTGACCTTGGTAATCTAGGCAACGGCATGTCAACATCGACATTAGGGGCTACAAGAATGGAAGTCATTGCATGTGTAGTTCTTTTGCCGTCTACAGTTTTCTCATTATGGTCCCAATTATCTGCCACTCCAACGATGTACTGTCCACCATCATTTATGTGAGAAATGTTTTCAGGTACAAGTCCACCAGACTTAGTAATCCTTTGAGTTTGAATAACATGTTCAGCTGCTGAAGAAAGAAACATACGAAGTTCGGAGTAAGAAATCCCATAACCAAGATTAGACATGTCTTCAACTAAATGCCGGCTACCGAACTCATTGTACAAATGAACTGACAGACCAAGGTGTTTTGGGGAATTGACGGATGAAACAAGACTTGTAATATCAGATGCAATAGCTATCACTTTGGTTTCATGCTTCTCATTATTAACAGCAGTTGCATTAGCATAATTGTCATTGCTAGAAAGCCAAGAAACCATTCTGTACAGTAATGGATCAATAAATTCTTTCTGCTTAGCTGGTGTTAATTCTTCTGTTGAATAATACTCCTGATCCATTTTTTTAGTGTTGGCAAGAATTCGACTTTTTAGTATGCCCACTGCTTTGTGGACAATACTCTCATCTGAATCTAGTTCCAATTCCATTTCTTCTAAGTCAGTTTCCTCTTGAAAACTTTGCTCCAATTCATCATATCTTCTTACGGCTGTATCAAAAGAAATTTGACTAGAGCAAACTAGATCAGATTTTCCATTCTGATGAACACAGATCAATTCTGGCCATGCCTCTTTCAACAGTCTTTTGAAGTAATTAGTTTTGTATGCACTTACATCCTCTTTAAATTCTTCTTTGGCAATTGTGTTGAATCGATTCCTGAGTTCAGAAAGTTTATGAACCTTCATTTGTGTCATTAACGAGTATTCAAATTCCTCTTTTAATTTTAATGCTGCTGCCATGTATTTAAATTTATCAGGCGTCTCCTCATTAACGGTCTTATTCGTCTTATTTCCATAAAATTTTGTAAGACATCCTTTTTTTCTGTGATAGCGAGCTTCTAGAGCAACAAGATCTCCATTTGGTACACTCGTCAATCTTTTTATTAAGACAGAATCGCCAATTGCTTCAGCTTCTTTTAGAACCTTAGTGTAAATACTGTTGTCATCAGTGCCTATAGCTGATTCCACCATGGACCAATTTCTATCTTGCCTTTCACTGTTTAAATCACGGATAGATGAACATTTCTCTCCACAAATAAAACAATGCGATTTCCAGTCAAACTCAATTGAAGTAGATCTAGTACTAGATCTAGCTGACCTTTCAGTTTGTGTGTCCATTTTAGAGTCTGCATTGCTTTTGGACAGGAACTTTTGGTGGCATGAACTTTGGTACGATGCTCTGCAATTTCTGTGGTACCTTAATGGCACTGAGCCTTCTCTTATTTCCTTTTCATTATATAGTATTTGATTTCCTATGTAATCATTTCTTCTTATACATGATTGAAAAAGTATGTCTAGTCTGTTCAGGTTTGGATTAAGAACACATGGTGAAGTTGTAGTGAAGGAAGCTGAGCAGAAAATGCATTTCTGACCTCTGAAGTTCAGGTCACCTTTAGCTTCTCTGTCCATTGTACACTGTTGCATGCAGTCAATAAACCATCCACACCTTAAACATGATGCAAAGAGTTTTTTAGAGTTATATCCTATTATCACTTATGATAAAAATAAAATAATATAATTTATTTCATGCTTTCCAGTGTTTTACTGTAATATATCGGATGATAAAATTCTGATTAACCACTAGTGAAATTTATAAAATATCATTTTCACTGTAGCTGAACTATATCTGAATGCGGATGAAAAGAATATCATAAATAAAAGGAATAACAGGCAAAATATATGGTGCCATGCGTAAATTTTTCTCTTCAGAAAATGAAAGTAGATGTCACCATAACTCATGTTAAAAATGTAACAAAATTAGAGAAATTTAACAGAACTATATTTTAAAAGTGATGATGTGACGTCATGATGTGGTGACGTCATAAAGGAGAATGCGCTACATTACGCTGTAAAATCAGTAAAAATACTTAAAATCACTTATAAAGCGTGAAATAAAAAGATTTTTTTTTTGTTTTGCACAGAAGATTGAAATATATTTCATTTGTGAAGACCAGCTATTCCATTTTCACTCGTGGCTATGCCACTCGTGAAAATATTGCATCTGGTGTTCACTCAGTGAAATACATGTATATTTCAATCTTACATACAAAACAAACAAATATCCTCTAAAGGTTTCTTAAAATTTAACACATTTCCTAAGTGAAAAACCATGTCCTGATAAAGGGTCTTATTGTTGAAATAATACAAATATGAATCTGTTTAGTCATCATTTTATTTATACCTCTCAAAGAAGATATATTTCCTTTTTATACTGATATGCAATTATAATTTTAAGCCTCGAAATATCATGAAATACATATCAACATGCATTCTGTATAAATAACATGTTTGATTAACATTAAATACCATGTTCGTGTTGACAATGCAAGGTTATTTTCCAGGGTGCATTCTCTTCAGGACAGGACACAAAAGACAGCTACCTACATGTAAAAAGAGAGTATAGTTTAGAAGCCTGAAACTTATGCATTGCATTAAGTATATCATATGTAATGTTAAATTATAAACTTGATCTTTTCTCTTTGGTATTTTTTTTCAATCCTTTAAGAATGCTTTATTAAAATATGTAAGCGCAAAATTTAGATAACACTTACCTTTTACTGTGCATTTTCTCTGTTATGCTTGACGTCATACCACTTGTAAAGTCCAAAGTTACATGGGTGCCTTATCACTGTCAGCTATACTTGAATAAAAACAATAGAAATCAGTTCATTTATTCATAAATATAAAGACAAACATATTTTTTATTATCACACATATAATACTTTTAATAAATACTTAATTTCAGTTTTATTAATATTTTTTTTAAATTATCCGGCCACTAGTGGATATCCGAAGACTACTCAACTTTTTAAAAATCAACTAAAAGGGGTTGCCTCTCAGTCTCTGTAAATATATATAAATCAATATTACAGTATTTCAGAGTTCTAGACATTGAAAAAGAAATTAAATAACATATAAGTTGTTCTAGAAGTTTATTTTTATAATAGTGCAATAGATCTTTATCTTACAGTGTTTGTTTTTTATTTTGATCAAAATACCTATTTTTTATCGTTTTAAAGACTCAAAAACAACTATTTTTTGTTTGATAACAACATAAAACAGAGTATACCTTACCTTAAAGCCTGTTTCTACTTCTTTCTTTCTGCTAGTAGGATTGTTCAAAGCTTAGCTATTATTTTTGTTAAATGACCTCTGCTAAACAGACGAATTACAAATGGTGTCAAATTAACAAAGGGATGTAACTCTTGCAATTTACAAAAATAGAAAGAGCCCATTTATTAGTAAAAATGAATTATTTAAACAAAAATACACAATATTCAAGCAAATAATATATTTTCTTTACATTTAAACAAATTTTTGGTTGTAATAGTCAAATATCTGTGTGGAAATGCATTTTTGTATAAAAAGATATACATAAGACAAAATCAAAGAAACAAATTACAACGTTTAAAATGAAAAAATCAACTTGAAAAATTGTATATTTTCAATTACAACATTTTTATTTTGTCTTCTTAATATTTTTAAGTATGGTATTAAATGTTTCCTTGGTATAACAAATAATTTAAATCAGTGAATTGGAATGGAACTATATAAATCAATTATCACAAAATATGGTGGCCATCTTGGACGCCATCTTGGATAAAAATGTTGTGACACAGGTAAGGTGAGTGCAACATGCAGTTTCATATACTACATATCCTAACGTTTAATTTGGTATATAGAAACCCTTGTTTACAGACATAGACCGGTATGTCCAAGAAAGAGATAAGATATCCCCATTTGTTTGCAGCATTACTACTGAATAAATTTCAATAGCGAAAAAAGGTGCTCTGTATGAAAGTATTGATTCACATTTTCCAAAGGTTTAGTAAGTTATTACGTGCATATTAATTATAAAAACAATCTAAAATATAGAAGTAAATATTTAAACTAAACCCATCCTAGTTAGGCATTTTTATGAAAAACTATCAAATAATGCTTAAATAGAAACCAAGTAACGAATAATTCACAGACTATACATACCTTTAAAAACATTCTGCCTGTGTCTTTTTTTCTGGTTTAATAGCTGATTCGAAGTCATTCTGATTAACAAACAAAGTAAACTGCAAACTCGAGGGCTTTCATCTTTTTATTTGTCTTCACTTCAGTATTTTGAAAATGAAATAAATTCTGAAATATTCTTTAAAAGATGTCTTATAATACTGAATAAACATTTATATTGATGTTTTTTCTATGTTTTGTTATTTGTTTTTTTCTTTTTGTTGTTTGTTTTTCTTTTATTTTGTTTTTTCCCCAAAAGCAAACATAAACTTCTTACAACAATATTCTTAAAATGTATTGCTATGTTTCTAGTGAAATAAAAGAAATAAGATATCAAACTTACTGCACTCTTTTCAGTTTTCCGGACCATACTTAACATCTGAGACTATACAAAGGATATAAATGTGTAATTTCATGTTTATCTATTTTCTCCTGATGGTTTGTTTGAAGATGCTTCTTAAGTTTTTTTAACATAAGACATATTTGTGAGTAATAAGACCTACATCATATCGACAGTCTTGCGATATTAATATATATTATGGCAAGAATAATTAATCCTTTACAAGATGATCAAACGTTCGTTGTTGAGAAAAGCTCTAGTCTGAACACTAAGGAGGTTAAACCCCAGTCACATAGGAGCTTACCACCACTTAAGACCAGTTGACGATCACCAGTGACCTCTGGTCGCAGACAATCTTTAAAACGTCTTACGACGGCCATCGGTAATCTTCGACAGTCGCAGGTTATCTTATTTAGGTCCCACGACCAATTTCAGTCGCAGAGAGATTTCTTGGGCTTGCACAAAAACTTAAGGAATTAGTTTTCTTTAGGGATTCTTATTTCTCTCTATTTTATCGCCACATCAGCGTTGTTAGTACCGTGCGAAGGCCGATAAAAGTCGCCCCGTACATTCAATCAGGGAGGTTATATTTCCGATCCTTAAATATAGCATTGTTGTTGTGCCTGTTGGATTTTATTTCTTTCTATTCGGCATCTTTCTTGTTGGGTGGTTCCAGTATTCCTCATTTGAATACTGTTGAATCACCCTTAGGATATATGGCCTGCTTTTTAAATTTGTCTTTTGACGTCATATCTGTGATATGAAGGTTTCATAACCTCAGATCCCCTTTCAAAATCCCATTTTATTTAGTTCCGCCCATTGTTTTCTCGTTTAGGGCATATGCATTATTTACGTGGGGACCTTATGACGCTTTTCATGGAATGTCACTAACGTGTCACATTGAAGGTTCCATGATAACCGCCATATGAACACATCTGTGGATGTTTCAAAATTCTAAATTTTACCAGTTTATGTTAAATGTTGAATTCTGCTTAAGTCGGTGCTAGGGGACGTGGACGGTAGTTTTCACTTTACAGTACCGTCCATGAACAGGCTCAATCAGACCGAGCCTGCAACAATTTTGCCGTGTTTGTGCTTTCTTTAGGGATTCTTATTTCTCTCTATTTTACATACAACTTCTCTGCAAAAAGCCAAGTATTATGAGAAGTAAATTTATACAATTGATGTTAGAATGGGTAAAACATTTAAACTTTACATTATTGAGTGTTTGATAATCTAAAAAGAAAAAAGAATAATATGCGTTTTAATATAATATAGCTATTCATAAAACTTAATGCAAAATAAAATGACTATTTTCAACATTATTTACTAGTTTCATGTACAATATTATATTATTTGTACATGTTCTCATTATAGATTAAGTAATTATAGTAAACGACAAAACGATTGAAGTTTCCAAATGGAGCTAAAGTAGGATATTTTTAAGTAATTTTGTTTTCTTTTAAAGAATTATATAAGCAGACAGCGGTAGCAGAAAAACTTTTCTTAGCACTTTTAAATATGATTGACATGTTGCATGATAAGTCTGTGTACAAAGATCAAAAGGTGGTTCGTTAATTCCTTGTTTCGTTATATTTCGTATAAAGAAATCGGCTTCGTCTGTTTTTCACGTGCTAATGTTATATCATTTGATAATAAACTAGAGGTGCTGTCTTTGCAGTAAGTTTTTTTTTACATTGCACTTTAAATCACGCATGTTATGGAAGGTTTAAAAGGTGCCTGCTCGCGATTTTTTTCTTTTGTAAATGAAATACATGCTTTCTTTTCCTTAAACGTGAACATTAATCTCATCTTTGAGAATATTCATTAAAATAATATTTTTCTTAAATTTAATTGCATGCTTTTTGTTTACAATGGGACTACTTTATTATGCAGATAGAAAGATTTATTGTTTAAAAAGAAAAGAAAATATGCAAGGAAATACAGAGTCATGTATGTTTATCAATATAATATAATGACATCAATGAATAAAACGTGACATACAGTTTATCTATTTGATATTTTACGACTTTATTTGTTTACTTTCCTTCAACTTCTTCTCTTTATGGATGTAAGATTATCATAAGCGGTGCTCCACTTACTTTATATCTATTATTAACGGGCAGGGTTTGTTCAAAAATCTGGTAAAGGGATGATACATCGGAAGCCGGAAAGCATAAACACCGTTAACATGATAATTGCTGACTCGATTTGATTAAGTATTCATGAGAGATAATATAAAAGTGCTAAATCCTTCACCTAGCAACGTCGTAAGCTGCATTTAATCCTTAACACTTACGTGCTTGAATTAATGATTCCAAAAGGCCAGAAAACTATAACACCACAGAAGTCACTTATAAGCGGTTGACATGCTGCCACTTTATTTAATTTTGTCTTGGCCTTTTAAGTTTTATGATTAAGACTTTTCCATAAAACAACTCACTAATACATGCTTACACGAAACTTTTTAATTACATTTAAATATGTAAAGGAGAACAAGTATCATGGTTGTTTCATTATTTTTTTCTTATTTTTTTTTGCACATGAATATAATTTACTCACTGTTTAGGATTTATTTAAAAGAACATTTGCGCTATAATGCATGTTAACTAGCTGCGACAAAAGGAAATTGAATGCATGATATCACGCGTTTGAAGGCGTTTGAAGGCGTTAGACGCAGTTAATTCTATACTGACATCATTAATTCAAAATCAAATGAATTAACCTTTAAATTACCGATCGTTACTTTAAATTTTTGTCTGCATGGAAAGTAAACAAAACATGGAAAGTTGTTGGACACACTGACACCATCGCCTACTGATAAAATTTCCATAGTGATCAAAAGTGCTCTTTATTAAAGTATTGATTCACATTTTCAAAAGGTTTAGTCAGTTATTGCGTGCATATTAATTATAAAAAATATTCTAAAATATAGAAGTTAATATATAAACTCAGCCAATCCTTCTTGGTCATTTTTATGAAAAACTATTCAATTATGTTTAACATAGAAACCGAGTTGCCGTACGTGATATTTTGCGATCAGATCTCATATATAAAATATAAAACATCCTTCAAAAGCTGTTTTATATTACTGGATAAATATGTATTTTGTTGTGTTTTTTTTTCTTTAAATAGCAAAAATAAACATTCTACAATAATATAATTCCTAAAATATATCATTATATTATAAATGTAACTACTGAAAAAAAGATATAGATTATTAACCCAACTATACTTTGATTTCTGTTTCCCTGAACTTTTCTCAATATTTGAATCTATATATGTAACTGTATGTATTTTCTCTCTTAATTGTTTGTTTGAAGATGCTTTTAAGTATCATACGTAAGTCATATTTGTGAGTTATTTGACCTATATCATACAGACGACAGCCTTAATATATCAAGAGATATTAAGACAAGAATAATTAATCCGGTACAAGATGATCAAAGTTTCATTGTTGACATTGTCAGGAAAGTGGCAGTCTAAAAAAAGTTATAAAAGGCAAATGAAAAAGGGTTACATAATTATAACCAACTTTTCTGAAAAAAAAATTCCAAAAGTGGCAAAACCTTTTTTTTAAAAAAGGCTGGCAACACAGAACTGCGGGAGTTCGTGGTTTAACTAAGTCTATATTAAAACAGTGATTCAGTGATTGCATTGTTATGGTTGTAA